GAGACTGTATTAATTTCAATGGTTAAGATCATGCGTCATGAGACATTAACACCATCGGATGCCGACTAGCTCAATGGTCTAGTGGGTAAGTGCTCGTACACGAGACTGGTAGGTCTTGGGTTCGAATCTCGTAGGGAGTGAGGTCGTGAATGCGCACTGTCAAGGAGGAGTCCCATAATATGACGAAACGGTCATTCAGTACTTTCAGGTTTTCCATGGTGATAGTCTAGCTTCAACTGACTCATGATCTTAATCAGTCTTCAGTCTTCAGTAATAAGGATAGTAGGTTAGTGAACCTGTGTTAATCCTAACAGGTTGGCTTCCAGTGAAGGTCCAGTTTCTCTTTGAAAATATTCACTGATGGGGCTGATACCACTTGATCGGGCAAAGCGTTCCAATCATTGACTACTCGATGAGAAAAACGGAACCCCACCTTGAGTTTATTAGATCGTGGTTTGTGAACCTTCTTGCTATGACCTCGGAGATTATTAGTGCTGGAGGGAGCAAAAAGATAAGACATATTAACACCCAAATCATAATTAAAGATACGAAATGCCAGTATAAGGTCACCTCGAGTCCTACGATACGACAAGGGGAAAAGGTTTAAGCGTTTTAAACGCTCATCGTAAGGGAGTTTAGAAAGACCCTTCACTAATTTCGTTCCCACACGCTGGACACGCTCAAGTGAGGTAGTATCCTTTATCAGACATGGGCTAGCTGCTTGAATACAGTACTCTAAATGTGGTCTTACATAGGTGGGATATAAAATTCGAAACATTTCCTCGTCAAATGATTTGAACGCTCGGCGAAGTGACCACAACGCACGAAAACCTTTGACAGCGGCTGCGTTGCAGTGCGCAGTTGTTTTTAAATCATGACTTATTATTACTCCTAAGTCTTTATGTTCTTGAACGCATGGAAGAGGTTTGCCATCAATAGTATAATGGTAATTATTGCCGTGACCGATGTGCATTAGCACACTCTTCCTAGAATTGATTTCTAAACCCCAATCACGAGCCCATCTAACTAAATCGTCTAAGTCAGATTGAAGATCCAGATGATCAGCCTCACCTCTTATTGCTCTCCATATTTTGACATCATCCGCAAATAATAATGTCGACGACCTAAGCAACAGCGGTAATTCATTTACGTAGAGAAGGAATATCAGAGGGCCTAATATGGTGCCTTGGGGTACACCACTTTTGACCGGCTTCCAATCGGATAGCGTCCCATTGACCCTCACTCTCTGTCTGCGGTCACGTAAGAAGTTTCCTATCCACTCCTGTACAGTACCTATTATTCCGAAGCTTGTGAGCTTCTGCATAAGACCTGAGTGTGAAACCTTGTCAAATGCTTTGCTAAAATCTATGAATATAACATCGACAGACAGACCTTTATCTAAAGCTGCTGTCCAATCCTCTCTCGCAATAAGTAAATTAGTCAAGCATGAACGCTTATCACGAAATCCATGTTGCTCAGGAGCTAACAGATTGTATGAATCTATGTGGCTTAGCAACCTAACCCGAATTATCTTTTCAAGTAACTTAACGACAATGCTAGTCAGACTGACAGGTCGGTAGTTAGATACGATGTGTCTCTGACCATCCTTAAATATAGGACTGACAATAGCATCTTTCCAATCCCTAGGTAGTTGAGCGAGTGAAAGGGACATGTTAAAGAGTGTCGCGAGCGGTTTTGAAATAATGTCTGCAAGAGATGACAGCAATCGTGGATGTAACCCGTCAGAACCCGGTATCTTACAAGGTTTGAGGTTAATTATCAACGAAAGGACAGTTTCTTCAGTCACCTGTATGGATTCCATGGCTGGTATCGCGGCGTAACTGGGACAAGTATTTGTTACAATAAACGTAGAGTAGACTTCGCTAAAGTAGTTTGAAAATGTCTCAGCTTTTGCTCGATCTGATTCAGCTAGTAAACCTGAATTATCGTGTAACAATAATGGGGGAATACTATCACTACGTTTTATTTGCCGTTTAACATACGAAAACAATCGTTTTGGACAAGTACGGCTATCGTATACCAACTGTCGTTCGTAAGTAATACGGGATTTAGCTATAGTTTTCTTACAAATATTCCGGAGTTTTTGGTACTCACGCTTAAAAGATGCATGACCTGTCAACAAGAATAAGTCCCAGAAGTGTTTCCTACGCTTTAACAGCTTACGGGTTTCCTTATTAATCCATGGAGGGCAGTGCGATAGCTTACGTACTGACCATGGGATAAACGGCGACGTTACGGACTCGAATGTAGCCTTAAACTTAATCCATTCGTCTTCGATCGATCCATCTGCATCAACCGACCAATCAGTAGAGATCGCACAGTCTCTGATTGCCGGAATATTAGCCCGCCAGATATTGGGACGGGGTGGAGCAGATACAAATCGTATACCATGTGTCCTAAACTTAAAGTGAAGTACAACGTGATCACTGTTCACTAGTGGAGGAAGGTGCTGAATATCAAAGACGTCCTCACAGTGGTGGGTGAGGGCGAGGTCCAGCAGTGACGGATCACGTTTCAGATCAATATGTGTCGGTTCAGTGATACATTGGACAAGTGCACACTGAATAACTGTTGATAAAAGTTCGCTATCAAAACCTCCACCTGGAGCTGTAAGCTCTATCCAGTTTATGTTCGGAGCGTTGAAGTCCCCAATGATGAGGCAACATTCTGCCATACTCCAAGAACAGATGTGTCTTAAGATAAAGTCGTCAGCAAGACAACACGGACTACGGTATATTCCGCCTATAGTCACTAACCCATTTCTAGATTTAATCTTACAACATGCTACCTCACATGTACCACTAACATGAGCCTCCGATATGATTGATTGTATACGAAAGTGGTCCTTAATGTATAACATTATGCCTCCCCCCTTGCGGCTTAAAACTCTATCACTTCTAATACAGATATAGCCTGCAATGATGGGAGAACATTCTATATCTACGGTGAACCAAGTTTCTGTAATGACAATTATATCGGGACTTAATTCATCCACCATCAGACTTAGCTCGGACGTTTTATTCCTAAGACTACGGGCGTTCGTGTAGCACACACTTAAGGTGTTATGGTAATCGTTCGTTCTACCCATACAGGCCTCGGAAGCATTGGCTTCCAAGACCTGACTACCCGAAAACCCTTAATGGTAAGGTTAGTTTCGCCATTTAACTTGCGAGTTCTTAACTCCGTAAGAGCATTCTTCCACTTGATTCGATCCTCAAGCGGCCAATCTGGTCGGATACGAATATTTGAATCACGAATTTTTTGTGCGTTTTTCAATAATATATCTCGTTCTTCAAAACTCCCTAGAACCAGCTTCAAGATCCTTCTTGGTTGGGTCTCGCCTCCAACCCATTTACCGAGTCGTATCACTTTCGTGATGTGTACTCCTGAAACCTCTTCAGGTAGTACGTTTCTTACCACGGATTCTACTAACTTCAGATCATGTGCATGTCTCTTAGCAGGATCGTTGTCTATCGACTCCTCTAGATTCCAAATAATTAAGCTAGGGAGTGGTTTAGTTTCTTTAGGAATCGTGTTAACGGCTATCGATCGTGACCTAACATCCTGTATATTAACTACTGGTATCTTACGATTAGTTTTTATTGTAACAGAGTCATTGGAGTCGAGAGAGTGACTCACAACAATGTTTGACGAGGCTTTACTTTGGGACTTTGGCGGAGTGGTCTGAGAGTCCACCAATGACTTATCAAGTAAACAGTCCTTACTTTTAGCTGTTTTTCCTACTCTTCTGCGTTTACACTTCATCCATATTCCGTCAGCCGTAGCATCTACAATGGAACTGCTCGGGACAATAATTGTTTTATCTGGATCACCAGTTGCTGCTGTAGCAACATGGCCACCAATATCTAATGAGGTGTCACTCATTGATTGTTTCGAGGTAAAAATTTTGATTTCGGGTTGCGCAGTTAGATGTCTGACTCGCGCCGTGACAGCACTTACGACACTAACGCGATCTTCGCTATCGGCACCAATATTGTCAGTGCAGCCCTCGTCGACCTTCTTATTAGCCAACACCAGGAGGCTAATGGCTTCCTGGATGAGTGTTGTTTTGTTTGAGCAACAAAAACTACAAAGCCAATGAGAGTTGGGCTTCGAGCACCTTTTATATGCAGCGGGGCTTAGTCGGGTGCACATCTTGTGGAACCACTTCTTGCACTCATCACATTGCATCCCTTCCTCCACGGGGAATAAGCAACATGGTTGTCCACATTTATGAGCCGATTTGGCCATCTTGAAAACCAAATACAATGGTGATACAAAGAGGATATGTAAAAAAAAATGCTAAAACCTTGACTAAATTATCAAATAAAAGTCGACCAAGTATGCTTTGGTGCAATAATTACACAAAGCAGAATCAAAACAATCAATACAATATCACTTTAACTGGAGTAGATTCAATTAAAGTGTAAACAGTAGTTTTTATGCGTAATTTACGATCAAAACAGTTAATTAGCTCAACGAGAAACAATACCAGTGTCCTTTTAATAATCAAAACTTTTTAAACAATTAATAACAGCAAATATAAAGTGACGCATATACATAAACAAATGCCATCTGAGTAGAGAAAAACATTTCCGAAAATTTGTTTAATTCATTATAAAAATGTCAGTTTATTTTCTTCGCTAGGTCACATATGATGATCGTTTTTCATATTCTCACCAGGCTTTTCTTTTTCAAGGCTGAATAGATTCATTGCTCTAATCGCCCTCCCTTAAGTGCATTCTTGTCTGTCCCTCACTCCAATAACCTAGAAACCAAATAACCATTGGTTAATATAAGATAATGCGTGATAAGAGAGAGAGAGAGAGAACAATTAAATAGAGTTTGAATAGCCGAACACAATGTACTAGATTAGCTAATAGGGTATATCAATCTACCAACAAATAAGGTATTTTACATAGAAAAAAAAATCCATAAAATGTGGTAATACCAGAATGGATTTATGACAACTTCAGAATATGGCAGATTCAGTGAGTGAATAAATTTTTGAAGTATTACAATTGGTATATTGTTTAGAACATTTACTTGACTGTTTCTTGTCTTTTTATTGAATGGTAATTGTAGACTATACTATCCTATTAATATCATTATGTATGATAACAGATTGTAACGGTAAATAAATCCCTAAAATAAATAGTTCTGTAAGTTTTCGACATTGGATACTGACCATATTAGTTTTAATGGACTCATCTAGCTGAAGGCAGTCGGTCATGGATCCGCACCAGATCACGTGTGGGAACGCCGTGCTCAACATCTATTTCAATCGCTAGCCAGATTAGATCAGACGATCCTCGATAAATTGATAGCTTATCAAATATATCTTCGAACCTCCTCGCTTCTGACTTTTGATTTCACTTGATGGGTACGATTCATATTAGAAAGTGTTACTGGTTAAATCGTTGTCAAACTCTGAATACCTGTGACATCTTCAACATTATTACTATTAACACTTATACTTTTTCTCAAAACAAACTTATTACCTATGTCTATGATATTATTTCGTTAAACAAACTAACATCATTTAATTTACGTACATTAATTTTCATGCTAAACCTAACAGTAAGTCCATAATAGTTGAATACGATAGGTTACTTATTCATTTCACCTATGTGAGCTGGTTTGTAGATAAAGATCAAAAAAAGCTTATTGATCAATGCTGTTAATTTGTCAATATAACAACGGGTCACTTAAAACTTTTCTTTAATAAACCATTTAATTCAGTCTATTAGTAATCCTCTTAATTTAATCTTTCGAATTAAAACAAATATTCATCTCATACAAATAAATGAAAAGTTAACCTTAGATCTAAGTTTTATTGATTTTGTGAACATTTGGTACGATTAGTATCAATTTATCAAAGTCATTGACTGTTGAATAGAGCTGTGTAATTAGGTGGAGAATCCCTGGTTAAGGCTTGCATGACTATCGTAACCGGTGATTACGGATGTTAGGTGGCAAGGACCGAAGTCGTTTGAGATGACGTAGATACTCTCAATCTGTCTTCTCTTAGATTTTGTTACTTTCTTTCTTCGTTCTATACAAAATCTTTTCTACTATTACAGATACTATTATTATTTATAATATTGTGGGATCCGCCTTGATAATTAATTAATTAATAAATCACTGACAACAATACAGTATAAAAATTCCGTCATCATGTTAACAAACTTCTCAGGCACACTCTTCTTCAATAGACAATCCCAGAGAACAGTCCTGTCCAGCGTACCGAAAGCGGTCATAATGTCAAGAGACACTACGATTGTTAGCTTGTGATAAGTATTGGCGGTGTTCTAACATTTGATGGAGGGTGAAGATATGATCAATACATCCTCGACCAGAACGAAAACCAACCTGCTCCTCACGAGTCAGTCTTTCTCGGGTATTGAAAAATCTACGAAGTCTGACGGAAGCCAATAGTATGGACGCTTTCAAAAGTAGACTTATCCTATGATAGTTGTTACAAAAAGACATGAACCCTTTTTAAAGACATGGACAATTATCTACTCATTCCGTGATGTTGAAACACTCTTTAACTGTCAGGCCTTTGTAAACAACTCAATCAGTTTCTTAACCAGAAATTCAGTCATCTTAAAAAAATGACCGAAGATAAGTCATCTGAACCTGGTGATTTGTGGCGTTCAGGGATTGGAGCTTCTTGCGGACTTCCGACTCGTTAAGTGGATCAGTCATCATAGGCCACTGAGGGTAGGGCAGTCTGATCTATGTTGTTGGTGAAGCAGACCAGTTGAATTGCTCCTCGAAAACTCAATCCATCATACAAGACGTCGATAGATGTTAGTGACAGCCGTTGTTTCGCTCACACCGGATTCCCAGCTGTCAGTGACTCGGATGAGTTGAAAGAGCTTCCGACGGTTACCACATGCAGCTGCTGCTTCCAACTCATTGACACACTCCGACCACGAGGCTTATCTATCCCTACTCAAGCTTTGTCCAATTTCATCGCGTAACAGTCGTTGTTTGTGGTCAAACTCGTGGTCACTCGTAATAGACTGACGGGCTCCAATGAGCCTGAAAAAACCCATTGCTTAAGAGCAGGACATTTTGCGAAGCCGCAAGCGAATTCGTTCGCCATTTTCATGGCGTCATGGAACCAATGCCCGTCTATACTTTTCAGTAGGCTGACATCTAGCCTTGAAGCAACCTCATTTTGGTATTTAGTTGCAACAGAAGTTGCTACCAATTTGCTGATATCGGTCCATTTACGGTGATGAATTTGTTCACCACCGAAACGTAAGTTAAGATTAGCTCAAACAAGGGCACGGTCAGAGTCCGGATAGCTACTCCGAAAGGGACGGCAATCTTGTACACAACCACGCCAGTAGTAGCTTGTCGCGATGTGGTCAGTCTGAGTTCAGGTTTGAGATGCAGAAGGTGGGACACCAGGTTGCACATCGGCGATGACTGTGCCGATAGTTAGTGCTAGCCAGAAACAGGTTGTAGTCTGCACAGTTTTGCAGTAGACGGTCACCGTTATCTGACCTGCAATCAACAAGTTCCCATCAGCCAACTGAACGACTCTCTTCTGTGCCTAGACGCTCGACGTAAGTATTCAAGTCTTCGGCTTGTACTACAATATCTATCCAACGCACTTTCTATGGAAGAACAATTCATTGGTGGTAGAACTCATCCTTGATTGCATCCGAGCTGCAATCTGCCGGAGCGTAGGCGAAGATGACAAAACGACATTGTTTCTCACACCGATTTCTTCGCACTATGATGGAGCTTTCTAATCTAACAGCGCATAACCGATTATTAATAAGGATCCAATCGGTCAATGCTGCTTCAGTGCATAGCGCAGCACCAACACCAGCAAAACCAGACGAAGATGACCAACCAAATCACACTTGATGGATAATCACTGGGAGAGATGGACGCTTTTACATCCCTTACTCGTGATAAAGTTTGGTTTATTTTCAAGTAGCGAGAAAAACATAATTCCAACGTTAACAAGAAGATGATAAGATCTTACACTTTTCGATGATTTGTTGTCAAAGTACTGGTCTTGTTGGCATTCCAATTGTTCAATTTGTTCACCAATCCCTTTCAATTTTAAGGCCTCTTAATAATCAATAGATGAATATATTCTATAAAATAAGAACTTACATAATTTGCCTCTCTTTCACAAGAGAGGAAGGGATCAATAAATCTCTACATAAATTACAAACCATATCTGCGATTTAAACCAAGTTGTAAAAAAAAACAAGTAACCGCTTCTGTTGTTTACCTATTGATTTCTAACAATTCGTGAATCCATTTAAAATGCTGACAGTAGCTTTAATAGTTGCTAACTTTAGAAAAAAATATTTTTGTTGATGAACATTAATTTTGGTTGGATTCGACCAACTAAATGAATATTAGTCTATTGAACTATGTGATTCGGACAGAAAGTGATTAAATTACTGCATGGTGTGTTTTACGGTTGTAAAGTCAGATATAAAATATTTCATTAGTTCAAATCATGAGTCAATTGAACCTAGACCACCATGGAAAACGTAGAAGCACCGTTTCGTCCTAGTATAGGACTCCTCAGCAGTGCGCATCCATGGTGGCGTAACTTCGTGGATTGCTTGAAGTTAGACATCAACACCGTTGGATGCCGGCCAGCTCAGTGGTCTAGTTGGTTAAGCGCCTGGCACGCGACTGATAGGTTGTGGGTTCGAATCCAGCGGGGGGTGGGATCTTGGATGCGTCTTCGTAAACAAAACACCCCCGCTACCGGAAGACAGTGAGTAGGACTTCCCTGGCAGAGTCTATATACGCATGGCCATGTGAGAGCATTTCTAGAGGGAGAGCGGACTCTACCCACTCTCGGCTGTACCAGGGCATGTGAGGGTAGTCTTTCTTCAACCTATTTCAAAATATTTACATATGCTCCAGTTTGTTTGCCTGCATTATTCTCAACTATTCATATTCAGTGATCAATGGATACAATACATAAAACTAATTTGTAAGTTATTATTAAAGGAGGACAAGACATAAAATTATATATCACATAAATAGGTAAATATCGAAACACTATGATAGATTATATTACAACTTTTAGTATTCTGCGTATATATTCATTTATGAAATTGAACTTTGATTAATGATAAATTATTATTCACTATGGTAACGTTGAACTACATTACAAAGTGGAAACAAGTTGATAGTAGGCTAAAGATAGAATCTTAAATCATAAGATTAAATCAATAGGAAAATAGATTTGCATACTATTTTCAAAGTAAATTTTATTATGAAATAGAATAAAATGAAGAAATACACCAAAATATATAATCTCCGTTATGAATGCCTGGTTAGCGTTGTTTTTTTTTAGCGAGTTAGTTTTCTACGGGATGGGATCGCTAACCCCATGTGCAACTTTCCTCCTTTATCCGGGCTTGAGATCGGCAGTAGCCCCTGGAGGGACTCTAGGCGGGAAATAGAGATAGACATGAGAAAAATGAACAAGAATTGAATGGAACTAGAAAAGAAGGCCCAGGATAAAGTGGGTTGGAGAATGATGGTCAGCGGCCTATGCTTCATTTGGAAGTAGCAGGCGTAAGTAAGTTAGTAAGTTATGACTGCCAATGATCTGGTTTACAATATTCAAAACAAGCCGGATTATCATAATATACCGTTTTAATTCTTCAGCGTAAATATTATAAAAAAATCTCTAAATAAAATCAAATATTTACTACTTGAATAACAGAATTGTAATAAATACGTGCCCGTTTCCAAGACAACACTTATATAAACAACAGAAATAGTATTGTGAGGACATTAGAAAATTAATTTACTAAACAATAATAGGATGTTAAATTGAGATTTTGCTCAAATGATAAGGATCTGTACATCTGCTGTTCATTACTTTTGTTCTCATTAAGAAAAAATGAAGTTGAAGGTTTTGGTTGATGAGGTAGACTATTCAGGCTAATCTTTATTAAACATAGTATTCATTACTGACTTAGTAGGACTCTAAATTTATTGATGTCAAAATTAAATTGAATTTAGCTACCAACCTATTACGGATATCTATCAATAGAGGGTATGAATGAAATTCATTTGTCATGATGAAGGGGGGAGTGGGGTTCGTGAGGATTATTGTAGTTTGTAATTACTATTTGTGGCAGATTGATCTTTGTTGGAGTATCATTGGAAGCTCGAGAGTATTGTACATCTATTTCGCCCTAATATGAACTTCTCAAATGTGCACAAGTAGTTTTTGTAGTAAAACATTAATATCCCGAAAATTTACTATTTTCTGTCTGAGATTCCATGAAAAGTCTAAAATACAATGAATTTTCTTCTACTTAGTTATGCTGCTATGTATATCAGTGTAAGAATAAATGTAAGCAAAAATCTATGATATTTAATGGATACAAAGGCCACCTTGCTTGTTTATGTGTTATTATAAGAATAGAATAACTAGATAATTAGAAGTTAAAATAACATCTGTGAACTAGATAAGATCATACGTTATTATGTTTTCAATAGATTTCACCCTAATACCATGTAGTCAAGTAAACTTACAGGTTTTATCAACTCGATCTGATGGATAAACTCTTTTTCATAACCTTATTTTCTAACTTGAATCTACTATGGTGAACATAAACAATTCTTGTGTTTTTAATTGGTTGATCTGACCATCTCTATATTTGTACTTTTCACCTTATCTGCTTTTAATTCATCACTCTAAAATGATTAGTGTGCAAATGTCATTTTTACATCTTACATAATTTGTTTTTATCATTTTAGCATAGTCTAATGAGAGCATCTACATAGAGCAAGGTTAGGTAACACTTAAATGGTCACTTGTATGGAATCGGTGTACGGCGTTGTAACTGACTGCATATTGAATACGGTTTTTAAGCCAAAGGTTGGATTGAAATTATGATAACCATTACACTAATATGAATCAAACTACTAGTTTTTGTTTTTCTCTGATCACGTAAGCTTTCAGGTAATTGTTTCTCTTCGCATAAATCGGAGATCAGTGTATTCTATGGGCTATAGGAATTTATTTGACATTCATCTTGAAATAAACAAGACATAACAGTAACAATATATTTCTCACATAGAAGATGTGTTTACTTTCATTAGCATAGTTCTAGCAATAACAAACTAGTTCCCATATCCATATTAAACATTGAGAACTGGATAAATATTTTAACTTAGTCTACTAATCCTCGTCTACTGAATAAATAAGAACTCATGTTTTCAATATCCAGTCCGAGTTTATTACTTTATGCTATGCTGTTGATTGATGTAGGAGCTAACATTAAAACTAAAATATAATGGAATATAAACTAAGCTTTACGAATGCTAATTTTATCCTAAATCATCAATGCATAAATGACGGGAACGATCAACAAAAATGATCAAAATCAAGCTTAAACATTTGATAAAATGATATACTGCAATGTTTTGGCTGGAGTTTGGTTCTTTGAGCTGGAAGACTTTTGCTGATGATTTTGTTCAGAAGACGAAATTCTCCTACCATGCAACTTATTCACACGATTAATTGTATTACTATTATATTGATTATGAAGAATCATTCTGACCGATATTAGGTCATCTTTCTTGTTTACAAATAACACAACTTTGAAGTATTCATCTCGTTACAGATCCAAAAGTTTGCCATTTTCATCATATAACATTATCAAATACAACCTTCACAAATTCTCATACTGATAACAATCATGTGTACACTAGTGACTAGCTTGAAGATGGATTTCATGGAGTTCTAGTAAGACGTCGTGGCCGATGCAGTCCAATACGTGTCGGTTGAAAACAGGTATCCACTTCAGACAATGAATGAAAGTTTGTACGACATCATGAATTGATTAAAGTTAGACATTAACACCGTTGAATACTGGCTCAGTGGTCTAGAGGTTAAGAGTTCAAGTGCGAAACCGAAGGTCCTGCATGGATTTACACTACTGAGGAGTCCCATTCTAAGACGAAACGGCCATTTAATGCTTCCGGATTCTCAATAACGATCTAGCCTAGATCGACTGATCATTTCAACTGTGAAAATTCGACGATTTCCACACATCCCAATACTGATAAATTCATTAATTCAGGATTCATTTTACCCTTTGTAAAATATCACAATAATTATGGACCTATAAATTTAGAGCCTGTTAATGAACTAAACGAAAACAATTGTTCACTCAAATAATTATTGTTTGTGAATAATTTATAAAGTTTTTTAAACTACGTAAATATATGGAATTGATAAAAGTTAAAACCATAGATATTAGTACAAGGAGGCACGAAATACATATGCGCCACACAGATCTCATTCGATATGTGCGAGGGCTGTAATACTGCACGGGTGCCCAAATCGAAGCAGGTAGTTTTCTTAAGGGGCCACACCCCGAGCCTTCGACCTGAACGTCTGAAAAATTATTAGACTATTAGGTAGGTACAGAATATCGTCAAATTACATACTGATCTTGTTTCCAAGTGTTAGGGTTGAAGCTATCACTAGTTCACTTAAATTGCGAGATTCAATGACCAAAGACCAGTAAACTAGCTATTGATGGATCCCAGCTCAACTATCTAGAGGGAGAAGTCCAAGCTTGGAATGAGGAAGTATATACTGCAGGCAACCAGAAAACGATCGATCTCATCAAACACAATTTAAAAACGTATATATACAAATATATGTGATCGATATTGCCATGGAGCTTTTAAACATTTAATCGATAAGTTCATCAATTGACCGCCATTGAAATATTTAAACATTTAATCGATAAATTCGTCAATCGACTATGTACGTGGGTGGTAAGAAATGCCCACGTATACATCTGCATACAAGCTCCACAAAGATAAAATTACAAACTATGAGTTTTTGGGAATCTATCGTCCCCAACACCAAGTAACTGTTATAGTTTTCAATCAGTGAAATAAAATTGATTGCTTGAAACTTCTATGTAATGATTCATTTTTCCTTGGTTGAAATGGATTTTTAAGTGTAAGTCATAATTGAATTACATTTCAATCGTGTTTACCTATAAAAATAACTATTTGTTCAACATCTGTAAATTTGATTGAAGAATTCATCAAATAAGCATCTCAGATTCGTTGGTGAATACAAACGATATTTCTTAGACTGAGTACGTCTTGTAATTATCATCCAATTTCTTATGTTATTAATAGTGCTATTAGTAGTTTATGTAGAAGAAGCCACCATCTTGTCAATGTATTATTTCAAATTAATTGTTCCAATAATATATACGATATGGAATAATTGGTTTAATCAAGGATTTCTAGTATATCCTAATATTAAGTAACACTTAAGCCACAACAAACTAACTAACAGTCTTTGGTACACAAATGATGATAATAATCATATGCCATAGCGAAGTACCGAACACTAAGGCTACATTATTATCTAGCTTCAATTCATTTTTGTATCCGTTAGATATAAAATTGATTGATTTCATAAAGTTGTTTACTATGGACATCACTCACTGATCGATAAATTGTCATTCAATTCTTATAAAGATTGTTGTATGTATGTTTGTTTTTTTTCAAAATGAAGTTCTATTTATTAGACTGATTACCATGTTATCTTGACTGTACCCACTAATCATCAGTACACAAAATAAACTACAATTGAAAGGTTTTCTCCATTATATTTAGTATGTTTATTGTGATAACATTACACATGTAATTGAATGAGCATTTCCTAAAGTTCTAGTGACGGGTAAGCAAGTATCTATCTGTGTGCTCGTATACGCTTGGTGAGAAATGCTAAGAAGAATCATAACAATAATAATAATAATAATTACTTTTTAAGTTGATTCCAAGTCAAAGAGAACAGAATGTTGAGTCTTGATTAGTATCAATTGATAAGTTCTTCATTATAATGAAAGTCTCGGCTGAACACAATCGTTGGTATATAGATATTTATCAGAATGGGGGGGGGTTGTGAAGATTGTAGTAAATTTAATAGTTCAATTCATGAGTAGATCTAAGCTAGACTATCATAAAAAAAAACCTGGAAGCACTGGACGACTGTCTCATTCTGGTATGGGACTCCTAAGCAGTGTGCATCCACGACCCACTATGAGGGACTCAGACTCTAACGATTAGCTTGAAGATGAATTTCATGGAGTTCTAGTAAGAGGTCGTGGCCAATGCAATCTAATACGTGTCAGGTAAAAACAGGTATCCACTTCAGACAATAAAATAAACGTTAATGCTCTATCGTATTGTTTCGTTTGTTTTGATATTTTCCCTTTTATTAATTTCAATGTTTAGTTTAAATCTCAAGCTGTTTAATTTGTTTTGTTGACGTATTATTGTTATTATTATTTATTATTTTAACACATAGGTATAGGTACAAGGAGGCACCAAATACATATGCGCCACACAGATCTCATTCGATATGTGTGAGGGCTGTAATACTGCCCAGGTGCCCAAAACGAAGCAGGTAGTTTTCTTAGGGAGCCACACCCCGAGCCTTTGACCTGAACGTCTGACCCACAAGGCAGTGGAGCATCGTGAGGAGATGGAGTCCCATGGTAGCCGGTGACCAACGATTGGTTCATACGCCATTTGTTCCTTCAGGATACTGGAGCCAGCCCATGTGCACCATTAGTTCGGGATCCGATTAAAGCGTCGGACATTCGCTTTTCGTCCTCTCATTTTCGTGAACAACACCCCCGCCATGAAAAGGCAGTGAGTAGGACTTCCCTGTCAGAGGCTATATACGCGTGACCATGTGACAGCACTTCGAGAGGGAGAGCGGACTCTCCCCACTCTCGGCCGTACCAGGGCATTTGGGGGCGTTTTGTTGACGTAACATTTTACATTACTGTTATGATTTACACTAAATTATGTTTCATTTTAATGTTTAGCATTCAAATGGAAAAAATGTTTATAAATCCTCATCATCACCATATAAAAGAACTATGGATCGTCCACTCTGTGGAATAGCTTTGTTTGGTCCCAGTGAGTGACCTTTTTTTAAAATAGAATTTCGTATTTTTATATAATCAATAAATAGAATACACCTATTGAGACATAAAATAAGAAAGATTGGCTCTGAGAAGGGTACTCTTTTTGAAGAATTTATATTCCAAGATGTACAGTTACAAATGTACACTTATTTTTCAAAATGATAATAAAAATTTTGCTAAATGTTAATGCTGCCAAAGTACCCAACGATACATGAAACAGTAGTTTGAAAAAATTACGATTGGTCTAAAAAACGATCCAATTATTGAGGAATAGACAGAAATTAATTGGAAACACCAACTCGTCGGGTATCTGTGACGATTAACAAGATTGCAAGTTTGGAAAGAGAAAGGATTCCGCTAATGATAACATAATTAGTAATCATAACATATGATTGTGTAAATGACAGATGTTTAGTGTTATCAATAGTCAAAAATGGGAACTAAAAGCATACAAATGTGGAAAATATTACATTTAAACAAAGATTACGAGAATATACAAAACTGGGAATAGGTGTTACAGGTGTTGAAAGTTATCATAATAGTAAATATTAATTACTGCTTACGCCTGTTACCCTTCGTGGAGGAGCATGGGCCGCTCACTAGCATTCTCTATCCAACTGTATCCTGGACAGTCTTTTCCAGTTGCTATTCATTCTTTTGATGTCTGCTTTCAGTTTCCGAAATACTATGTTCTTCGGCCTTCCTCTTCTATGTTTTCCTTCACGATTGCCTTGTGATGCAATTTAGTGATTTCCTTAATGTATGTCAAATTCACTATCAACGTCTTTTCTTAATTTCCTCTTCAGGCGTCTACTGATTCTTTTTTTCGGTTCAATAATGCTCTGTTAAGAACCTTTCCTGGTACTGATAGTGGTGTGATTTTTCTGTAGTTCTCACATCTCCACAGATCTCCTTTCTTTGGTACCTTCATAAGATAACGTTTCTCGTATGTCAGCACTTGTTTTTGTCCCAAATCTTCCTGATTAAAACATGGAACATGTTTGCATTTATTCTCATGCTTGAATGTGCTTCGGCTGGTATATTATCAGTTCCTGCTTCGGTTTGGGCACCTGCGCAGTATCATAGCCCACACACAAATCAAATGACTTGTGTGGCGCATATGTGTTTGGTGCCCCTTTGTACCAATACTTATATGTCCAGATAAATATGTAATAAATAATTTTCAGGTCCTGCTGCCTTCCCACTCTTGATTTGTCTGATGGCCATCCTGATTTCTTCGATCGTCGGTGGAGTGATATGTATAGGAAGATCTGTAGGTGCTGCTTCGATATCCGGTAGATTTGTGGAATTATGGTCTAGTTCGCTATTAGTACAGCTATAATGATAAACCTAATCCTAAAATTGTAGACTTGTCATGATGTGACTACCTAATCTATGAGAACTTACGTGGAATCCCCATCATTATCTTCACTGACTCATCGTACCGCAAGAATCAGCAGTATAACGTCTAGTGCTCTTGAAGAACACATTTGGGCTAAAGATAGAATAATATATTTAATGTGAGTAAAGACAAGTTATGCAGATTGACCACGTCTGCAAGGCTGAGCCATGCCATCTGATTGAATGAATGTTCCCGCGTTCTCCATTATTAACCTTCTCTTCGTGTCAATTGTTGAATGTCATTCTTTTCAGTAATTGTATGCTCAGCTTCAAAGGTCGTGTAGTTAGGGTCCAATGCTACTACAGATTCAATGGAGCTGGTCTATTCAGGAGTCCCTCGAAGTGTCCCACTCATATGTCCTTCTGTTCTTGAATCCCAGTGATTGTATTGACTTCACTGTCCTTGATCGATCTTTCTGGTTTACTATATTTCCCTGCTAGTTTCTTCGTTGTGTCATATAGTTGTTTCATATTTCTATCTCCTGCAGCTTTTTCCGTTGTCGTTGCAAGCTCTTCCACGTGTTTCTGCTTGTCAGCTCTAATGCTTCTTTCGACTTGATTGCTTGCTTCTGTGTATTCAGCTTGTGCCTTGACTTTCTCTGTTCTTGTTCAGCTGTTCTTTCTTTTTGAAATCTTGTCGAGTGTTTCGATAGAGATCTATCCCTTATGATGACGCTTCTTGTGATCCAGCACCTGACACGTTGAAGCTAGTGCTTCTTTGATCCTTTTCCAGTTGTCCTCCATAGTAGTTTCTTGTTCTGTCAGTAGGTCCTGTAAGGCGTGGAACCTGCTGCCGAGAGTTCTCTTGAATTGGTTGAGTTTGTCGGTATCTCGTAGAAAGGCTGTATTGAACTTTTGTAATGCTGTCTCTCCAGTTTTTAATTGCTTCTTTAGCTTCAATTTCATCTTGGCAAGCACCAGGTGATGATCTGAAGCTATGTCAGCTCGTTTTATGGTTCTCATGTATTCCATTGACCTTCTGAATTTTTTAGTGATGCAAATATGATCTATCTGATTCTCCGTGGTGTGATCCAGTGAGACCCATGTGGTTTAGTGTATACTTTTGTGTGGGAATATGTTGAGTGGACACAGATTTTCCTGTATCCCGACATCCTCATTCTATTCTTCCAGACCATGTCGTCCCATGATATATTCATAACCGTTGTCGTCCATTGCGACTTTAACGTTTGAGCCACCTATCAGGATTGTCAGGTCCTTTCCTGGGCATTTCGCTATGATTGTTTGCAGCCTCTCGTAAAATTGATCTTTATTGTCATTGTTGCTATCATTGGTGGGTGCATAACATTGGATAACACCAATTGTGATTCCCTTTTTTATATTGAAAGATGCTTTGATGATCCTGGATTCATGAGATTCCCACCCAATAAATGCATTTCGCGCTTCTTTGGACAGAATCAGAGCATCTCCCTGAGTGTGTGGAGTATCTTCCTTTTCGTGATTTGAGTACAGCAGCATCCCTCCTGTACCTAACCTTCTCTATCCAGCTTGGGTCCGATGGGTTTCGCTGAGTTGTATCCTCATTCCCGTTGCTATTTGACTGATCCTCCCGGTCTCCCCCATTGTCTGGAAGTTCCATGTACCTACAGAATTTGTTGTTCTGGTTTTTAAGCAAAGATGGATAGTGGCTAGCACTGGAGTCCAGAACGTGCGTTTCGTCATATTTGGAACTCGTCAACTGGATGTACCTGCATCGCATATGCCAACAACAGCCTGATCGATTGCAGTCCTAAATAACAATGGGAAGATACAAGTAAAACAACACCAAGTGTTGCTCTGGTTGTCAGAAGAGCCATCGGCCTCGTGACTTCCGAAGAGTCTGGGCTTTCATCACGAGTCGTCATAATTCTTCTTTCAATTCAGAGGGCAGAGTTGAAGTGACTTAATTTGTTTGTTCTAGTTGGCGTTTTTTTAGCAATGTTGTTTTCTACGGGATGGTGTTACCGACCCCATGCCCAACCCCACTCGTGTATGTGAGCTTGGGGCGAGCATTAGCCCTAAAAAGGCTACAGGCGAGTTAATAATAAATATGGTAAATTTAATAAGTGTATGTTAATAATTTAGGATATTACATGACATGTAGTATAAAATGATACACCAAATATAAGTGGGATGAGATGAGAATATTGACCGAGATCTCTGACGAACTTAACAGTAACAGTGATGTAAAATATATAAAGGTATGAAAACGTTATTTTTATTAAGGAAACCGACAACAATGCTGTTTTCGATAGCTCAAAGTTTCATTGTGAAGATAAACAAAGAACTATGATTGAAAATGGAATACTCAACGTGATAAGGATCATAGAAACTAAAGACTTAAATCTTTGCTTCTGCCTTGTTTCGGTGTTTCAGAATGTCCTGGATGCAGTTCAGCTGGTATTGAATAACTTATATCTCGTTTTAGTTGACAATTAGGTGATTTAACCACTAAGTGTTTGGAAAATAAAAGTATTCCATCAAGATCCATGAAAGTCTAACGATAAAATCAGTTTACGTATTTGAAGTATGAGAGATAACTATTTATTTAAGCAATACGAATGTAAGGAAAAATAAATACAAAGGGTCCATAATAGTAAGCGATTAATAACATTAAAAGATCAAATAATGGAATCAAGAACTAATTACTGAGTATGAAGTATTGTATTAAGAGTATAGGGTAACAGTAAAATAAAAGATTTCTCGTACAGCTTTTTTACGTACAGTTCAGGTTTGAACAGCTCAATAGCTAAACTCTCTTTAAATCCGGAATTTAGCTATCGACTGTTGTGGATTCTCCTTATGAAAGCTTTGGACAGTAACGCTTAAAGATAAGTTTAGAAATCCATCGCTTAATAGGGCTGATGTAATCTGCTCCAGAAGGAGCAATAAACTGATAGATCTACATTGATTTAATACAAAACAGCACTTTATCTGAAACTTTGAAAGTAATTCAATCTTTGTTACGATATACTCAATGACTGAGCATATTTTAGTCCTTAATATCAACGGCTAAATAATACAAATCCTTATGAATAAGCGTTACATCTGATGAATAAGTTCGTAACTTTCTGGACTCAGCAGTTTAGTGAATAATGAGTTGGTGTTAGATACTGGGACAATGTCTCAACATGCATATTAAAAGTTAGATGCAGGTACATCCAACTAACGGGTCCCAGATATGATTAGACGCAAGCTCTGAGTCTTAATGTCAACCACAATCCAAATATACCGGAAACTTTTAACTAAATGTCAATACCGATACATCAGCTAGGGAAGTGCATATGCCGACAAATACTGGTCAAACTTTAATCTTCAACATTGTAAGCTGGATAATATAAATCCTTATGAATAGATCAAACAATAAACTGTGAATTCTGTCCAAGTGGTCGCCTGTTTTTAATTCTTTATGCAGTCGGACATTGATTAGTTAAGCTCCTTAGGAATTAAGTTATTGATTATCTAAGTTTAATTGTGGTGATATTTCCCGACAGTTTCGGTGTTGGAATGACAATTAACTTCACAACTAATAACATTACACTCTACAATAAAGTTTTATTCGTGTCAAGGTGATGTTTTCCCTAAGCTACCATGTAAAAACAAGAGGAAATAAGTGGATTTTAGGCAATAATCGTTGGAAAGTGAACAATACAGTTGAGGAGGTGCACTAAACTCATTGTATAAAAATGATTCATTTGTTATCCCCTATTCTTAAACTCATGTAACTCTTAACGGTAATTTCGCAATAATACATGAAGAATAAGTGTTTATATAAACTTGATTAAACATTTCGTTATTACTTACCGATAGATATTTTTTATGACTTTAGAAAATGAACTTTTTGGTGAAATGAAAAATCGACTAAAATTAAGATCAACTAAACATTCAGATATTAAAGAATTGTCTTCAGAAATATCGACGAATAATACAATTGAACATCAGGAACCATCTTCATATGATAATACATCTTCTAGTATGTCAGCAAATTCCAGTCCCAGATCATCAATATATGATGATTTTGAACAATCTGAATCAAAAACAATATCAGATATTTTATTGGTGAGCTGTTTATTATCTATTGGTGATAATATATACTTTCATTACGTAACCATTTCTTAGTTAACTTTCTGTCGAAAATATTTTTTTCATTGATTAAGATCATGAGTCAGTTGAAGCTAGACCACCATGGAAAACCTGGAAGCACTGGACGGCCGTTTCGTCCTATTATGGGACTCCTCAGCAGTGCGCATCCACGACCTCGCCCCCTGCGAGATTCGAACCCAGGACCTAGCTTCAACTGACTCATGATCTTAATCAATGAAATTACTACAATCTCCACAAAACCCCTTCTGAAAATATTTTTGTAATTTTTTGGAAACTTGAAAGTACATGAATCATTGGCCGTATACTACGGTATTGATTTTTACTAAATAATTCAAGAAACTATCTCCAGATTGAGGCTTAGAAATGAATAAATAATAAGGATAAAAGTATAAGATCTTTAAGTGGGAAGTATAGTATTTCACCTATCTTATTATCTAACATCATGTTAGGGTTTTTTCTTTATTTCCTTAGGAAGATTTCTACTTACCTTGTAGAGATGACTTTGAACGCAGAGTTTGTCTTGATTGTGTAACCTATTTTCACAAAGTGTTCGATTATAAAACTTCTTACTAAGTCGTTGTCTCCTCTTTTTTTGCCACGCCAAACAAGATAAGTAGAAATCTTCCTAAGGCAATTAGACTGTATCTTTTTTTCTTTATGTTAAAAGATAGATATCATTTACAATGGAAATAACATTAAAACAATAATCGTATATTTTATGATTACACAAAGACATTACGATCCTGTTTTCTTTATAGGCAATTTGTCTGAGTTTTGTGTAGGTCGATAGATACAGTGTGATAGTTCCTGTGTAACAACGAACTAATATTAAAATTGTTCATCTTTGGATTGATTTTGATTTGATATGAAGCAAAATGTTTCATGTTAATAATGAGAGGTTACTGTATTTTCTTATAACCCGCAGTTTTAATATATGACACACAGATGATGTTTTTCACTGTTATACAAATAATAATTAAGGATAAGAGGCAGAATATGAAGGTAAACAACTAGTCTTAATACAAAACCATGATATGACAAATCCGATCTTATTAAATAACACTTACACATGATTATTTGCTGTTACACAAAAGATTAACTATTCACCCGTTCTCTTTATCGGCGTTTTCCTATTTCTATCTATCAGTAATCAATGAGGATTTTCCATAAGTATGTAAACAAACAACTCAATGACATATCGTGTCCCTAAGTACGTCAGTTGCCACATTTGAAGTTCATAACAATTTTCTGCGAATTTCGATTTCGATCGTGTAAGAAATTGATATTCTACACTTTTCAGTAAGCTAAATAAAATAGTAACTTTATTATGACATGGTGAATAATCGATTTTTAACTAACTTCTCATCAAAAGAAGAATTTTAGTAGCGTCTGTTGTCAACAGGAAGGACAGTATTTTCGAGATGAATCGACTTTTTGATAGTCCAATTCATAAGTCTATCTAAGCTATACCACCATTGGAAACACTTAACGACCGTTTCGTCATAATACGGGGCAGTCTAACTGTGTGTCTCCACAATTCCACCCATAGGACTCAAACCCAGGACCTCCAGTCTCGCGCGCAAATGCTCAACCTCTAGACTAGTGAGCCGGTACCTGATGGTGTTAGTGTCTAACTTCAATCAATTCATGATATTGTACACACTTCATCCATTATCTGAAGCAAATAAAAGTCTTCACTTGACACGGATTGAACCCCATTGCTGAACAGTCCTATACTAGGACGAGACAGCCGTCCAGTGCTTCCAGGTTTTCAATGATTGTCTAGCTTATATCAACTCATGAATTCAACTATTATAATTACTATAATCTCCAGAAATCCCCACTCTGATAAGAAACACTTTTTATCCAATGAATTTTGTTATTTAATAGTGATTCATGAAGTTTAATGTTTGTAAATAGCTGGCAGCTGGGATTGTTTTCTTATACTTAACATAACAACAAGGAAACTAGATAAAATAATCTTTAATTGTGAAAATCCTTGTCCTTTATTTGGTATATATTTGTTAAGGGGGGGGAATGGTGTGAAATTCAATTTATGTCATTTATTTCCTTTAGTTGGTTTCTTTTACAAATTTTTTATTGAAGCCAAAGCGACAAGTGAATTTATTGTATTTCATAGTTTCTCATCAGCTGTTTACAACCGTATTCGTATTGAAGTGTAACATTGAGGCATGACATAATATAGAGTGAAAGATATCAGTAACATAAATAATTGGAATAATAAAGATTATCAGTGATGACTGCCCCCAAATGCCCTGGTACGGCCGAGAGTGAGGAGAGTCCGCTCTCCCTCTCCAAATGCTCTCACATGGCCACGCGTATACAGCCTCTGACAGGGAAGTAATACTCCCTGCACTAAATTCTCGTGGCATTACTGTTGTTTAGGAAAATGACAAAGCGAAAAGTGAATGTCCGGAGCTTTAACCGGATCCCAAATCAATGGTGTACATGGGCTACAGTATCTTGAAGGAACAAATGGCGTATGAACGAAACGTTGGTCACCGGCTACCATGGGACTGCATCTCCTTACGATGCTGCATTGCCTTGTGGATCAGATCTTGAGGTCAAAGGCTCGGGGTGTGGCGCCCTAAGGAAACCACCTGCTTCGATTTAGGCACCCTGGCAGTATCACAGCCATCACACATATCAAATGAGATCCGTGTGGCGCATATGTACTTGGTGCCTCCTTGTACCAATACCTATGTGTTAAAATCAATCAATCAATCAATCAATGATGACTATATATATAAGTAGAAAGGTGAATGTGAAGTCATTTGAAGATTGAATTAGAAAACTCATAGAATAAGCGAGTCATTATACGGAGTTCGAAGACTGACATAATGGATTGTGTGATCATTATGCAAAATTTGAAGAGGTGAATAAATTTTAGATCACTAGAAGACAGAGTAATTTGATGGTAACTGTCTAGGATTCGAAATCCATCAGATAGGCTATGTTATAATGAAGAAAATTGGAAATTTTCGAGAATTCGATGCGTGAAAAGAATGAACGAATGAATGATTTTAGCGTACATGAAATAGTAATTATTTTAGCAAAGATTGCATAACATAATGAGAACACAATAATAATAATAATAATTTCGGGTAATTTTACTCAAAATTGTGAATTTACCAAGGAAATGATAAAATTGACTGCCACTTCGACAAACTCAAGAGAAGCTGGATTATATTTTCTGCTTCTAATTTTAAATGACTGAGAAATGTCAACTGTTGAACATTTTAGAGCCATTCCATCTTTCAGTCTGAAATTCTTTGAAACGTGCTCTGCAATGCGATATTAAACTTTAGTACAAATACAGTTGAAAACCAGTTCGTAACTAAATTTACTGTCGATTGATTTACGAAACAATTCATTTTTTCCACAAACCTTTTCTCATGAGTATACAATTGTCTAGTTTTTTCTCAGAGCCAAGTTATGACCACAGTCGGCCCCCAAATGCCCTGGTATGGCCGAGAGCGGGGAGGGTTCGCCCTCCCTCTCGAAATACTCTCACATGGCCACGCGTATACAGCCTCTGCCAGGGAAGTCCTACTCACTGACTTCTCGTGGCGGGGGTGTTGTTTACGAAAATGAGAGGACGAAAAGCGAACGTCCGGCGCTATAACCGGATCCCAATTCTATGGTGCACATGGGCTCCAGTATCCTGTGGGAACAAATGGCGTATGAACCAGCTTTTGGTCACCGGCTTCCATGGGACTGCATCTCCTCACGATGCTCCACTGCCTTGTGGGTTAGACTTTCAGGTCAAAGGCTCGGGGTGTGGCCCCCTAAGAAAACCACCTGCTTCGGTCTGGGCACCCGGGCAGTATCCCAGCCCACTCACTAAAACTATGATGAACAATTTGCTTATGGAAAATATTCCTTTCTAATCACAAACACCTCAGGCAGAGTAAGGGCATACAACCACCTTTCTCCATTATTCCATTCAAGCAGTGGGGTTAGGCAGGGTTGCCCAATCTCACCATTCCTCTTCAACTTTGCCATCGATGACATTCTGGAAACAGCTCTGACGGATGTAAGTAATGGTGGTGTGGATCTGTTGCCTGGAGAAAGACTTCTCGACCTTGAGTATGCGGATGATATTGTCTTACTGTGCGAGAATGCCCAAGTCATGCAATCCGCACTTAATGAGTTGGCAATCAATGTCCGTAGGTATGGTATGTGCTTTGCACCTTCGAAGTGCAAAGTACTTCTACAAGACTGGCAGGATTCTAATCCTGTACTCACTCTGGATGGTGAGCAGATTGAAGTAGTCGAGAAGTTCGTGTATCTAGGTAGCTGCATAAGTGCTGGTGGTGGTGTGAGTGATGAGATCAATGCTCGTATAGTGAAAGCCAGAGCGGCTTATGCCAATCTGGGCCATCTTTGGCGCCTTCGTGATGTTAGTCTGGCTGTAAAAGGTCGGATCTACAACGCGACGGTGAGAGCAGTTTTGCTCTATGCTTGTGAAACCTGGCCTCTCCGAGTTGAGGATGTTAGACGACTCTCTGTGTTCGATCATCGTTGTCTCCGAAGGATTGCTGGCATCCAGTGGCAACACCATGTCAGTAATGCAGAGGTTCGGCATCGAGTGTTCGGTCACAGAGACGATAATGAAATTGGTGTCACCATCTTGAAACACCGACTTCGGTTGCTTGGACATGTTCTACGAGTGTCGTTCCAGAGAATTCCACGTCGTGCATTATTTGCCGACTCTGGGACTGGTTGGAAAAAAGCGGAGAGGTGGTCAGTATATGACATGGTGTCGTGGTATGAAAGAAAGCTGCAAAGGGCTAGCTTCTGTTGGTCCTTCACGACTCCCTGGTTGGGGTCCGAGAGACGGTGTAACGCAGTGGCTAGAGACGTTATCAGATATGGCTAAGAATAGAAGCCAGTGGCGATCGTGCTGTAACCTCTTACTTTCTTCATAAAAAGTGGTTGTATGTTCCTTAATTGAAAGATCTCTTCTGATTGTACCTTTCCGTTTCCCCCACCATTGTTCTCTCTCTCTCCCTTTTTTTTTTATAATTCCCCACGCTCATTACTTTTTTTTTCTCTTTTCTCCTCTTCAAATTATCATTGTTTTGTGTGGCGCATATATATTTGGTGCCCCTCTGTACCAATATTTATGTGTTCAAATAAATAAATAAATAAATAAATGACCACAGTCGAAACATTATCACATATATTAAGGGGGATAGTTGAGGTTTTTGTTGTATCCCGATAAGAATAGTGAATGGTAATTTTTGGGATTCATTTATGGACCGATATTACGAGTATATTTTTGTCATATAATTGTTACGTAACTAAACTGTTCATATCCATGTCCCTCTTATTATGAGTTTTATTTTGACCTATGAACGATTATTATATGATTTACCATTCTTGAGTTATGCCCTATCTATCAACTACTATCTCCCACATTCACATTCACATTTAGCTAAATCTTGTACCAATTTTGTTTCCTATTTTATTGGTACATTGTGGTCTATCTGGTTGATATATAAACCCAGTGTGTTTAAAATATAATCATTCATATCTCTAAGGCTGAGATTGGTGTTCTGGACTCAATTGGCTAAGCTAGACACGGAAGCAGGGCCAATCAGAACTCTAGGTTGCTCGCATGTATTTTATGCGTCAGTGTTCACTGCTGCTCTCTAATAGTCGCGTTACACATTATAACAGTTTTATTTGGATGTTTATGGTTAGTTGTAAATAAACGGTAGTTCATTTCTCGTGAATACATTTAATTTCGAAAGTTTTATTTAACAATAATAATGTTACATGAATTTTACTGTAAACAGTATATTATCATTATAATTCTTATATTGATATATTTATATCTACATAGAATCGTGCACGTAAACCTCCTACACGAAAACCAACATTGAATCGTTGTTCAAATGTTGTTCCTAATAAACAATCTAGTACCTCAATTGTATTTCATCCAAATAATAATACTAAGCTATTTGATGGTTTAACAGAATTTTTCAATACAAATAATTAATTGCTATACAGGTAATTTATTTTTTTTTTTGACTAGTGATAATATATAAATTATTCAAGTTTAGAAAAACATACCATCTAACCAATTCTAATTGATATACAATCCTTCTCAGCTTGATTATCATTGAGAGTATAACTAGTCATTGTTACTAACCTGAATTAATTATTATCTGAAACAGTTTTCCATGTTAATTGTTCTTATTACTTAACTGAATTATTTTTATACTTTACTATAGAACAAAACAAATAAAGTTCTTAGATAAAAAGTTAATCTATCTGGATCTACAATGAATTGATAAAACACAGCAACTTATTACTACTATAAAAAGATTTTATAAGTTGTTCGTAGGATGGTAAACAGAAAATTTTCTACTTAGTCATCCGACAAAATACTTATTAACATTATGATTTTGTATTTTATTATTGAACTATAGATTTCTTACACTTTTCCCATGTTATCCGTTAACTGATTTTAGATATTTTCAATGCTTCACTGTTGAAATCTTAACAGATATATATTTTCGATAACATATAACTTCTTTATAAGTAAAAGTGGATAGTGGCTAGCAGTGGAATCCAGTTTGACGCGCGTTTCGTCCTATTTGGGACTGGTCAGCTGGATGTACCTGCATCTCAGAGTTGATGTTCACTGTGTGACTCGAACCCAGTACCGTCCGCTTCAAACGCCATCGCGTCATCCACTTACCTACTGAGTCCTCATAGCCACTTGCTTGTGCAATCGGGTGAAGTTCAATTCACTTCATATTGTTCAAATTGAATGTTCTCATTCATGTTCAGCACTGCAATTGATCAGTGTGTTATTGGCATATGTGCATATTGTGCGTATTGCCTCGATATTGCGTTAATTGACAAGCATTATAAGCAAAGATGGATAGTGGCTAGCAGTGGAATGCAGTTTGACGCGCGTTTCCTCCTATTTGGCACTGGTCAGCTGGATGTACCTGCATCTCAGAGTTGATGTTCACTGTGTGACTCGAACCCAGTACCGTCCGCTTCAAACGCCATCGCGTCATCCACTTACCTACTGAGTCCTGATAGCCACTTGCTTGTGCAATCGGGTGAAGTTCAATTCACTTGATATTATGCCAATAAGAGACTGAACAATTTCAGTTCTAAACATCAATGGGAACATTCAAACAAATAAAAAACAAAAACAATATCAAGTGAATATAACTTCTTTAGATTAGATGAACCCCCATTAGGTATCTTTTAAAATTCTCATTTTCTTGTCCATGTAAGAATGGGATCTACTTTTTCGAACTGCCTGAATAAAAGCTGTCGTCAGTTCATAAGTATCACTTTTTTTTTCTGTCAGACGCATTTTATGGATTATGGTTAGATGTTAAGAAGTGGAAGTTCAAAGTTAGTTTGTCTGATAATGCAAACTTCATAGATATATAAACTACGATCGAATAACTGGTATATTTTATTAAATACCTCTTGCTGAACATTTGATTCCTCGAGCGATGTACTTTTAAAACTAATGACATATATAACTAAGTGCACTAAATCGGAAATCCATCAGCTATTGATGACGCGAAGTACAATGACCAAATATGTAGTATATTAGATAAGCTTATTTTAAGTGAATCTCAGTGATAAATTAAATCCGAATAGAACGCAGAAATACAATTCAAGGAAGCGTGTAGAACATTCTCAACTTATCCTGAGGCATACAGATAAAACTGAAGATAGTTTGGTCATGGAGCTTTCATCATTCTTCTGAATGGCATTATCAGCACGAACTTCAGGTAGAAGTGAAGTGTTCGAATTTCTCCACATATGGTTCAGAGCTCGCCCTCTACACCTCGATGTTGATTGGTTCTCGTTGACCTTAAATCTGTCATTGTTTACTTCTTTGTCTTGGTTGTATCTCCCATTGGTTTGATTTTTGTTCCTATGTTTGTGTATAATTTTCCTGATTGATTAATAAATTGGATCGATTTCAATGTGCTTGTTTATTGCCGATTGACCTGAGTGCCAAGCTTCTAAAAATCCTCAGGTGTTTTTGGAATTGCCTCTATCCAAAATCTCCACATTTTTCCAGTTGAATATGTGTCGGCAGTTGTCCACGTGTATTGATATAAGTGAGGATAGGTCATGGCGTTTGACTGCTAATTGATGATCATGCAGGCGAAGATAAAGAGGGCGTCCGCTTTGTCCAATGTGGTGTTTTTCGCAGTTGGCGCAGTTTATTTTGTACATGATGTTCGATTTATCTTCTTTTGTTATTTCCTCCTTTGGTTTGTATAGGATTGATTGTAAGGATTTTGTTGGTTTGTGCGCGACACCTATTCCTAAGGTTTCCAGCAGTTTTGTTGTTGTTCCTGATAAGCCTTTTATGTATGGTTTTTTGATTTCTGTACTTGACTTTGTTTCTGATGATGGATGCAGTTGGTATTTTTTTATGAAGTTGATTGGGTAGCTGTTCTTTTGAAGAATGGTCTTAAATTATTTTTCTTCCTTTTATCGTGCTGTAATTGTTTTGCAATGTGTCCTCACCCTCTTGAAAAAAGTTTGTACTTAGTTAATTTCGTGAGCTCTTGGGTTGTTGCTATTGTAATTAAGAATTTGATCTGTGTGGGTCCGGTTTCCTATCCACTTAAGTCTCCAGTTTACCTGTGTCGGTTCTGGTGATTAATATATCCAATAATGTTAGCTTATCGTTTGACTCCTGTTCCATTGTGAACTTGATATCATTGAAGACGTTGTTGATCAGCCTGTAGGTGTTTTCTAGCTCATCCTTTTGATTGTTTGGTAAACACATAAGGCTTTAGAAAGATAAAACTCAAATTTTCAAACATCAAATGGGGTTGTGTAATAACGAGGGCTTAAAGAAGAATAGAAGAATGAAAATAATTTATGGGTCAGAATTATGAAAGATAATTGTCCACTTGACAAATATGAAGAGAAACGAAAAACACAAAGGTCTTAATAATAACTGAATAATAATCCTGCATTGAGCTAGTGATTATTCCGTATTCTATTTTTTAAAATCGCACCGAGTAATGTCCTGAGATGCGCTTGGAAAGTGACAGCTCCGTACGGCCAATGTGACCTGCTCCACAGGAGCAAGTAGATTTATAGATGAACATCGATGTGGCCCAAACCGGAAGTTTGTCCTTAGCACATTCGTGAACAGTAGGCTGGTTTAAAAAGACAATTCCAAGCTTAAAAGAATAAAAGGTTTTATCCAGATAATTTGAAATCCGTTTATTTCATGATTTCGGCGGCCGTATCTCCATTATATCTGACGTTCATTACAAGAATTTTTTTAAACTGTCGGTGCTTTTTTAGGATATTGTCTTGGTGTTAAGTTCGCTTAATACAGTCAGTCAGCTGCAACGTAGGACCAGGCACGTATATGCATCGGTCCAAGTTGCCATACCGCATTAGCACAACAAGATGAACACCGGATTCATAGAAGTAGTTAATTCAGTGGTGGTAATATATAGAAGAAAGATTGTGTATAAGGAGATAGTACAGGAAGAAAGAATTAGTTCCTAGAATGAAAGATTTGAAGTGATTTTAATCTCTTAGTTTAAAGGAAGACAGAGAGTGTATACACCGACGCCATTGTGATCGATTCTGAGCCATGTCACCAAGTCTCCAACCATTGATTACGATAGTCATGCGGACCCCAAACAAGTAGTCTGCATCTACCAACATGGCTCAGACCAGAAGTTAGTGACTTCAAGCACTGATGCCACGTTTTGGTTTGGCCGCCCCTAACTTTCTTTTAGTTATCCCTAACACCGGTTAGCATTGCACGTTGTCGTAATCTGTGTTCAGGCATACGCAACACGTGGCTCAACCATCTCAGTCGATGAAGGTTCATAACCTCATCAACTGAATTACCATCATTTCCTAATACCCTACGTCTAACCTCACTATTACTTACCCGGTGATCCCAGCAGATGCGAGCAATATTTCTAAGGCACCTGTGGTCAAATACTAGTAACTTACGAATATCTTCTACTCTTAAAGGCCATGTTTTGCAGCCGTATTGTAGAACGGAACGAACTGATGCGCAGTATACTCGTCCCTTAATTGATAGACGCATATCTCGCCTTCGCCATAGATGACGTAAGTTGGCAAAAGCCAAACGAGCTTTCGAATCCGTGCAGAGATTTCGTCAGACACCAACCCACTACGGCTGATCAGACTTCCGAGATATGTGAAGTTGTCAACGCGTTCGATTACTTCATTCCCTATCCTTAGTTCAAATGTTGATGCAGACCAGTCCTGGAGCAACAACTTGCATTTAGAGGGAGAGAAACGCATCCCAAACATTCTGGCATTGTTACTCGATGCTATCAAAAGACTCTGCATTTCATCAGCGTCTTCACCAAACAGGACTATGTCATCTGCGTATTCTAAGTCAATAAGTGGACCTCCTGGTAGGAGATCAATAACTGAGAATTCAGTCGATGTGAGCGTTATTTCCATCAGTAGATCTATGATGATGTTAAACAAAAATGGAGTAAGTGGACGGTCTTGACGGACACCACTGCTCTTTAGTTTTATTCAACAAAACTTACGTTAGGATTGTCAGAGTTTGCACTCGGCAATTAATCAAATAACTTTACATTCAGGTAACCAGATGATGTAAGTTGTGAAGCGTTTTGCGTATGGAGTACACGTGAGTAGTTTTACAATCGTATGTATATTAACTGTATCTGGTTAAAAAAATATATAAATATTTGTTTCTTATTAATAATAGTTTGTTTTTTCTTAATTTCTTAGACAACTTCTGATGTTTATCATTTTTTCCATCAGACTGGATTCTCCGACAACTATTTTTGTGTTCAACCCTTCTCATAATGAGCTGTGAACTTCGATGACACATCTTATTTTCTTGAATCTATTTAACTAGTTATATAACAAAACAACACAGCGATATCAGCTGCTTGATCATTTGATTTAAACTTGTAAAGTAACACAATACATTTCCTTGTGCATCTATTCCCATAGAATAAATAAAAAAATATTCAACACCCCATTAGTATTAAACCATTCTGTTTTCTTCTAAATATTCTTAATAGACTTGTAATCTTTCCCTTTGCCTATTTTTGTTTCAACATTTCATATGGTATCAGATTAAACTGTTGTAAACACTGAAGTTGTGATTAAACTCATTTGTAAAATGTTTTGTTAGTTTATACATCACCTCTAGATAGTTATCTAATCAGTAGGGGCGAGTGATTGGAATAAGCCCCCAAATGCCCTGGTACGGCCGAGAGGGAGGAGAGACCACTCTCCCTCTCGAAATACTCTCACATGGCCACGCGTATATAGCCTCTACAAGGGAAGTCCTACTCACTCCCTTCTCGTAGCACTAGTGTTGTTTACGAAATTGAGAGGACGAAAACCGAATGTCCGGCGCTATACCTGGATCTCAAACCAATGGTGCACATGGGCTGGCTCCAGTATCCTGGGGGAACAAATGGCGTATGAACCAATCGTTGGTCACCGGCTACCATGGGACTGCATCTCCTTACGATGCTCCACTGCCTTGTGGGTCAGACGTTCAGGTCGAACGCTTCGGGTGTGGTCCCCTAAGAAAACCACTTGCTTCGGCTCGGGCACCCAGGCAGTATCACAACCCTCACACAAATCAACTGAGATTCGTGTGGCGCATATGTATTTGGTACCGCCTTGTACCAATGCCTATGTGTTAAAATAAATAAATAACCATCATCTATTGTTCTTTTATGCAGTTGTTTTAACTGTCACTAGAGAAATAAAAAAAGATATGAAATAATCTATCTCTATGTATTCATAGTTTTAATGAACAGACTATGCATCTCTGCAAACATTTTAAAGCACAAATCTATAATCTGTCCCACATAGTCATGATTCTAAATGATATGCTACATGTTCATAATCTCCATTCATAAAAAATTGTAAGGATTAGTTGTTTTGCATATTTTTTTTCAATTGAAATGTTTGAGACCGTTTGTATGCCGACGCCAATGGGCCCAGTGGTTAGCGACTTACCTTGAGACTTATAGATCGTAAGCTTGATCCCTGGTTGGATCTTTTTTTTGTACAGGTGGTGAGTCTCGATCTACATCCTAACCAGTCTCTTACCATACAGTAAGTGACATGTGAATAGTGGATTATTACTGACCAATTCCTCTTGTTCTGATATATGAAACAACATGATTAACTAGAAAGAATTTCCATTTTCACCGTTGAAACAACTCTTGTATTGCTCACTTTTGACTGACTACCAACAAAAAAAGGAAGTTTCTCGATATTCATGTTTTATCACAAAACATTCATGGACTGCTGAGATGTCCTATGCTGTGACCCAACACTTATTCAGGGCTCCCAGGTTTCCAATGTTACTTCAACTGGAATTAATCCGTGATGTGAAACTAAAAATTCGTACGTCCATTCTAATATTCGTTCTAAAAAACAAATATCGTTTTGCTAATTTCGCATTGACCCAGCAAACAAAAAAGAAATTAGTACAATCCATTCTCCTACCATAGTCTCAATATCTTGCAATTCCCTTCTTCTTCCTTCTCTCACAACCATTTACTCCCTTTTTATTTTTTCTATACACCTTATAACACAACTGATTTGTTTTTGTTTCTATGATCCTTATCACGTTGAGTATTCCATTTTCAATCATAGTTCTTTGTTTATCTTCACAATGAAACTTTGAGCTATCGAAAACAGCATTGTTGTCGGTTTCCTTAATAAAAATAACGTTTTCATACCTTTATATATTTTACATCACTGTTACTGTTAAGTTCGTCAGAGATCTCGGTCAATATTCTCATCTCATCCCACTTATATTTGGTGTATCATTTTATACTACATGTCATGTAATATCCTAAATTATTAACATACACTTATTAAATTTACCATATTTATTATTAACTCGCCTGTAGCCTTTTTAGGGCTAATGCTCGCCCCAAGCTCACATACACGAGTGGGGTTGGGCATGGGGTCGGTAACACCATCCCGTAGAAAACAACATTGCTAAAAAAACGCCAACTAGAACAAACAAATTAAGTCACTTCAACTCTGCCCTCTGAATTGAAAGAAGAATTATGACGACTCGTGATGAAAGCCCAGACTCTTCGGAAGTCACGAGGCCGATGGCTCTTCTGACAACCAGAGCAACACTTGGTGTTGTTTTACTTGTATCTTCCCATTGTTATTTAGGACTGCAATCGATCAGTCTGTTGTTGGCATATGCGATGCAGGTACATCCAGTTGACGAGTCCCAAATATGACGAAACGCACGTTCTGGACTCCAGTGCTAGCCACTATCCATCTTTGCTTAAAAACCAGAACAACAATTTCTGTAGGTACATGGAACTTCCAGACAATGGGGGAGACCGGGAGGATCAGTCAAATAGCAACGGGAATGAGGATACAACTCGGCGATTCTCGGAATCAGCGAAACCCATTGGACCCAAGCTGGATAGAGAAGGTTAGGTACAGGAGGGATGCTGCTGTACTCAAATCACGAAGAGGAAGATGCTCCACACACTCAGGGAGATGCTCTGATTCTGTCCAAAGAAGCGCGAAATGCATTTATTGGGTGGGAATCTCATATTTATTTGGACATATAAATATTGGTACAAAGGGGCACCGAACACATATGCGCCACACAAGTCACTTGATTTGTGTGTGGGCTATGATACTGCACGGGTGCCAAAATCAAAGCAGGAACTGACAATATACCAGCCGAAGCACATGAGAATAAATGAAAACGTTCTTTTATTATCTAAGTTTTTCCGACCAATATTTTTTGTATCTTATTATCTCGCTCTCTCCTACTGTTGTAAAATGGAGCAATTACGGAAGATGCCGATTTGTCTCAGTTCTTATCCCGTTTGGGTGATTTCAATACATACATTAATAAATAATATGCAAACAACACAATTTACTAGTACACTTATGATTTCGGGTAAAATTTCTCATGAAACTATAGGAAGCACTATGACTATTTCAATAAAAATATAACTGGAAGTTGACTTTCAGGGTTTCAATTCTAGTATAAAATTAAGTTTAGATGAAGAGTAATAAACGTTTTATATCATTAAAAGTGGAGAGATGGCAAGTTTATGATATGGTGTGATAGGACAAGTCGTAACTTTGTAGAATTGGAATCCGTTGATACATCACAACTCTCTGAGTATAATCTGACCGATCATGCAACTCAACGAATCAAGAGTCTATTAGACATGGTTTAGGACAGAAAGCAGAGGAAACCCCGCAGTTTTCTGATCTTCATATAACAAACAAGATGCAGATTTGAACCGTATGGACCTCATCCTGGATGTATTCTTATCTAAACTATATTTTAATGAACACCAATCTTTTTAGAAAACCTTTGAAATGGTTTTACGGCTATTATTTGTCTCTTTAGTACGATGAAGTTTTCTTTGTTGACTGTTAGAAAACAAATGAAACGAACATACTCTATGAACAATGATAGGACAACACAATATGATGACACAAAATATGTAACGGTTGATGAAAAATAGTGGCCGACATCTATGTTTAACTTTATAAGTAGAATATACGTCTCAATGTTATGAAGAAACGTCTGTAAGTTTCGGTAAGATCAAAATTAACTCCCACTTCATAGAGATTCTATATGTACTTGTTAACATCCAACCACTATATCAGTTCGTCATTCTTTTCTTTCACAGAAACGGAAAATCTTCAGTTTTCCGAGAGAAAAAAAAAAGTTGGAACTGTAAGTTTAGTCTCACCAGACAGTTATTCTATCTTTATTAGCATGGATCCTTAAGTACGGATACAATAAGATCAAGAATTCCAGGTTGTTTCGGAAGATTTGTGTTCCTTAGACTCATAACTTGTAGGGTTAACCAAGTCATGAGTGAGAATAAACTGGATAACAATTACGCAGTATTATGTATAAATTAAACATTTTGGGGAATGGCATCAAGGAAGTACATCGGTAACATAAAAGTAAGAACAAACGGTTACATATTCAACGCTAATTTCTTAACATTTCAGCACACGTTCAATTAAACAGACGAATTCGCTACATCCAAGAGATGGGTTATTAGTCACAACAAGTAATATAATTATCTTTAACAAAACCTTATTGATACATGTATGGTTTGTTTCGGTATATTGCACTAACCTATTGAGTACACAGTCAATTATTAAAATTGAATAACAGTTTGTATTAGTTTATATCTCGTGGGTTGAAATTTAACTATCAATCATAGAAATATACTTTTGAAACCAACAGGCATTGAATATATGGGTAAATAACAAGTTAACATTTAGAATATAGTCTATGTTAAAACAAGCTTGCACGCATTGTTTCAACAATGTAGTGTCACTGAAAGGTTCACATATAAATAATCAAGATATATTGAGGTAAACCTGCTATATATTTATTTTACAACAATTTAGTTAAAATAGGCGTAAGTAATTAAATTAATATTATGTTTGGTTAAGGTAATATAAAATGTAAGGAATGTGTGCGCATATGATTTAAAGTTAGTATGAAAACTGGACATGACATCAACACAGACTGTTTAATCAAAAGATAGATTTCTAGTTCGAAATAAGAGATAAAACTTCAAATTGAACTCTACATTGAGTTCCTAAGCTTTTCTAGTAGCTCACAGGTTAATTCTATACAAAGACTTGATCACGAGAAAAAAGGCGAGAAATATGGAAGAAACGCTTCGCTCTAAAAGTTTGTTTATGCACAGAAAATCTAAAGTATTTATAATATTTTAGATGGGCCTTGGGTTTCCGGAAGTTCCTGGAACGCTAATAAGTATAGTAGCAGTATAGGCAACCATCCAGTCAGAAACTCGTCATCTGACTTTCTATACATTCCTGGCAAAACTATTGAACGCTGATTGGATAAGATGCTTTTCAGTGCCTTTTCTGGCTTTTCTCGAGGTTTTTTCTGGGTCTCCTCAACAATAACCAAATTCAATGTTCAGTTGACTGACATCTTGTTATTTTTTGGAATGTCTACTGAAAGTGGTTACGTCAGTCACTTCAATAATACTCATTACAACGATTGTATGAATATTCCCAGTAGTGTGTGTGAAGATCTTTTACCTGTTCTTGCTCCATAAAAATTCTGTTCTAGCTCGTCATAGGACATTCTTACTGTTGAGGATGATTACCTATACTGCTACTATGTTTACTAGCGTTCCAGAAACTTTCGGAAGCCCAAGGCCATCAAAATACTAAAAATAACTTAAATTTCCTGTGCATAAACAAACCTTTGGAGCAAAGCGTTTTTTTCATATTTCGCGCCTTTTCTCCCGTGATCAAGTAGCTGTGTAGATTTAACCTAGGGATTACTAGAAGAGCTTAGGAACCGAATCTAGCGTTCAGTCAAAAGAATGATCAGTTAATGACAAACATTTTTTTCTGTTTGCGTACCTGCATTACTCTTTTAATGTATTTGTAAAACAAAACTCTCTGGTATCTTACTCAAAACTAGGTTATAGAGAAATTAGTGATGGTGACGGTGGATTGACCACAGAAGCGATTTGGAAAACTCTCCCAGTCTCCCACATTGTGCGAGCATTCCATGTACCTAAATAAATGGTTGCTCTGGTTGTCAGAAGGGGCATCGGCCTCGTGACTTCCGAAGGAACTCGGCTTTCATTATGAGGCGAAGACCTTCTGACTTCCAGGGCAGAGTTTAAATGGTTTGAATTATTATTTCTGGTTAGCGTTTTTCTTAGCTAGTTAGTTTTCTACGGGATGGGGTCGCTAACCCCATGCCCAACCCTCCTCCTTTATCCGGGCTTGGGACAGGCAGTAGCCCCCCGGAGGGACTCCAGGCGGACCGACTACAGCAATAGAAGTTAAATATATTTTTATCTTGCAAATGCGTAGAGTGAAAATAGAATAGACTAATTACTCGGTATACTATTGGTTCTAAATTTCACTACACAATGGTTTTTCGTGTTATAATATATTTCGAACTCTTCATAATGAAGTTTAAGAAATTAGATAATCATATTGTTGGAATGATCCAGAAAAATTCTCGCAAAAGACACACAAGGATCAGGAAACCTTAAGAACATTTCATCCAATCAGCGTTCACTTGGAGTTTAGCCAGAAAACATCAAGGATGTGAAACGTCACATGTAGGCATTCTGATTGGCTGATTGTTATACCGCTACTATGTTGAGTAGCATTCCAGAATCTTCGAGCAACCCAAGGACATTTAGAATATTATAAAAACTCACTGTTTTCTGTATTAAAATGAACCTTGGAGTAAAGTACTTCTCGCATACTTTGTGCCTTCCTCTTTTGTATTCAGGTCGCTGTATAGTTCTAGCTTAGTGGTTTCAGAATAGCTTAGGAATCGAGTATAGCGTTTAAAATCGCAAGACTTATCACATATCAAGCTTTCAGATTTAATACAACTGTCTCCTTATCAATCAACAAGATATAGAACCATATAACATGAAAGACTTTCAAGTAATCAAAGCTGTTATAGAAAAACTACGTGACGTAGTCTGAACAGAAATATTAAGATTTCTCCAAAATTTATACCAGTCATATTTACATGCAGTAAACAACCTTACTAAATGAAAAAAAAATCAGTTTATGTACACTAATATGTTTTTGAATGAAACAGTAGAACTTGAAATATAATAACTTATCCTACAGTGCCCATGTAATTTACAGATTTTGAAGGATCTGATGGGAAAAACTTTTGGCATTGTGTCATTAGTCTTTTTATAGCTTGAATATATTTACGTTGTGTTTCATCATTCAAAACGTGTGCTACGTTCTTGGCATAGATTTTTTCTTGAGCAGTACGTGAGTGAATACCATGATTTGTCACACCTAACGGCCAAGGAGCATTACCAATAGCTAATTCTAAATAAGCATCATTGGCCTACAAAAAAAAAAAAAAAAAAAAACAAAAAAACAAACAGATAAATCCAAATAATAATAATCATCATACGGACATTCTTCTCTTCAGAGAAAAATTCATCCAAGCCTAGTTTTGGAAAATATATGGGTTAATTGAATGATTTGGATTAATATTGAGATGAACAACACACGGTAACGTAAATAAAACATATTTTGAAAGAATAAGAAGAGATGAAGTATATTATTGGGCATAACAGGCTGAATAGTCCGTCCAAAAATCAAAACATAGGTTACCACTGAAAGCTAACAGTTGTAAACACTCATCGTAAATGGATTATGAAGTTATAAAGCTTTATAGGTCTTTTAGTGACCTTATCAAATCAGAGACAACTACTTTCTTGTCTTAGATTTATCTAGATAATTATGTATTTTAACAACCAAATACAACTAATCACTCCTGTAAAAAGCTTACAACCTACGATGAAGCTAAATGCAGTGGAATTCAGGCGAAACCATTACGGTGGTTGGTACTTTTTAACTGCCTGTACTTTGTAGAGACAAGGTTCTAATAAACTGGAATTTATCTATCAAATATGAAATGCGATGAAAAATTCCATAAGACCTAAACTGATCATAAAATTCGTGGATAAATACGACTGAATGATGACAGCCGTTGAAAATGTCTTTTGCATATTTATTCGAATATTTGCGATGTAAACAAATACAAGCGAAAACTATGTTGCAGTATTGTACACAATAAGCTAAGGATTTTTAACTGTGACCAAACTTATGGTATATGATAAGGTGAATATTATTATCATTATTTTTAACAAGCAAGAACGGGTCAACTATTCCGTAAAGAGTTCTGACCATCCGTTCAAGCTCCCGGATCGAGGGTGAATAAAAGTTCCATCTTTTTCCAAGACAGTTTCACCAACAACCACATTTAAATACTAGTTTGCTTCATAAGTCTGAACAGTTGCCTACTGTTACCTATCGCTGCTGACTTTCCCATCTCTTCTGCATTCGCTACTCACCACTGCTCACGATCATTACGTAGGCTTTTTACCGGCCTACATTTAACGTGTTCTGCCTTCGAACTTAATGCCTACGAGGCCATAGGAAGTAGCATTGGGGTCTCCAGATACTCGAAGAGTAAATCATGCCAGTCCTTTGTATTGGCAAGGTGAGGTCAAACGAATAACCGTATGATGTGTCGGCGAGGATTATAATGACTGGTTGTTTGTTTAGTCAGACTAGTAGATAGTCTGACAGGTACTAGATCAGTTATATATTCTATTACCCTTATTATTACTGGGATTGATGAAGGATTATTGTCGGTTTTCGACATGGAAATATATTGGCGTTCTAGTCAAGCTAATCGCGTGTTCTTAATTTGAATTGTGTTCAAGTCCTGTAAAACAGACGCTGGGAGGGAATCTAGTGTAGATATTCGTCTGACCGTTATAACACCGTACTTGGATCCTGTATCCGCATTTTGGAAACGCAGCACATATCAATGGCGTGAGGTTCTACAGTACTATTTAAACAAGCCTGTGTTCCTGTCTGACACAAGGTTCGAACATTAGAAGCTTCAACACGCAGTTTTGAGCGTCGTTTCAGGAGACTGGAAATAATATTTCGTGAACTCAAATCACTAACATTGGTGGCGCGTGGTGATACAGATAAATCAAAAGGGTTAGTCACGGGGATGGAATAACTATTAAGAGGTGAGAGAGCGACCCGATCGTCAACAAGATGACCTCGGGTGGTGATAGAAGCATGAGGGTGGTCGTCACATTTATTGTTGAGGGAGTTGAGAAAGAAGCTGAATTAATGGCGGTCCTACGGACCTTGGAGTGTGACTGCTGAGTCCAAGGGACAACTGCTTGATGCTGGTCGCCCACGGACTTTTATAAGTTTTTGATGAGTTAGCTCCGCACTTCTAATGGCCTCACTGCCGGAGACGGAAATTCGTGGGGCAAAGTGAGGTGTGACGTTTCTAGAGTCGACCTTATCTAACCCCCTCCTTCCGTTGTGAGAAGGCAGCATCGCTGAAGATCCCGGTTGTCCGAGGTAAACACCTTACTGCTGTCACATCCCTCCACAGTCAACAGTATAACTTCAACCTCGAACCTTAAGTTGTTGCTTATAGTCTTACAGTTCTCCAACCAACCTGGTTGACATAAGACCTAAAGAGACATGCGTTTTAGCCAGTATAACTCAGTTGAGTCATCACGACAGGCAAGCCCGACCACCACACATCAGGGTAGCAGCTACAGTCGCGATGAAATATCATACAAGTGAATGAAACCTGAGGAAGTGAAATAATTACATGGAGTTAAAGTTATTTTATGGAATTAGTGTGATCAAGATCAATGATTATTCCGTAAGAAGGAAAAACACTAGTATGCTGATAGATCGACTTGATATTAGTTTATTTCATCACAATCCAGAAAAAAAAACACTTAATAATTGCCTATCGACTTCATAAAATATAAAAAGTAGAAAGACAGCTCAACTAACCTTTAGGTAGTTCCGATCAATCATCAAAACCATTATTTTAACCAAGGAATTCAAAATATCATCTTTACAACGCTAAAATGAATGTGATATTGTTAATGAATGAATGAATGAATGAATTGACTTACATTATTCTGAAGTGTACGAAGAAGTGGCTTAATATACTCTACTGTTTGGGTATATGTTGCACTAGCCATTTTTCCAGAATAAGATAGTTTCTCTTCTTTAGTTCTAGTATTCAAAGCATGACCCCATTTTGACAAAAGGAACTAACCGAAAGAAAAAAAATTATCTTGCAATGTAACAAACTATCATGTTATTGAATAATTATGCAAAAATGAGAAATTTCGTATGAATAATCTTTTACAAAAAAAAAAAGTTATAAGGAATAGGGAGGTAGATTATTGTTTGCTTTTATAATCAAGAAAAGATCGCATTGTGAACCAACTCATTAACCAAATCTTACTGTCACTAAATATGATTAATTCGGCTAAAAGTGATATCTTCATACTTATCTAAACTAAATTTTTAAATAGATTTAAGATAACCAGTGACTTCAGCATGAATATATATTTACTGACCGTGGAATGCTTAGCATATGATCATTGTTGTAGATCAGTAACTGGCACCTAGTAACTGAGCAAGAATAGTAACTTGCAATGAATTATATGCAGTTGGGTCTTCTTTAACCAGATACAATCCGATTTTACTACTCAAAACGAACAGGCAGGTATATACGACTCGATATAAATGGAAAAGACAGAAAGATACAGATTTATTTTGCAGAACACAAAAACTTACAACTGTACATTTAAACTTGTTGTAACAGTTACAAAAACAAAAGGCATTAGGGCATAAACGAAATGGAAATGAGTGGAAACAAAGTTATTTATTTATTTTTGTGCAACTGAGTCAGCAAAAACTCCCCAGTCACATCCATAACCAAAAAAACTTAGGCTGCTCCCGGACCCAGATCTGGTAGTTCACTGTCGTTATATAATCAGAACAATTCGCAATCGAAGTCTCAGCCCGAAATGCTTTTACAAATGATTACAATAATTAATAGTCAATTACTATCCAATCGTATCGTATACCATCAGTTTTTACAGTTAACTAGCTTACTTTTTATGATAAGCTGTGAAGTATGGGAAGAAACTATTTCCATTATGATTGTTGAGAACACAGGATACATGGCATTAACGACTAGTTATTAAACTCATTAATCATTTATTTATTTATTTTAACACATAGGTATTGGTACACGGAGGCACCAAATACATATGCGCCACACGAATCTTAATTGATTTTTGTAAGGGCTGTGATACTGCCCGGGTGCCCAGACCGAAGAAGGAGGTTTTCTTAGGGGGTCACACCCGGAGCCTTTGACCTGAACGTCTGACCCACAAGGCAGTGGAGCATCGTGAGGAGATGCAGTCTCATGGTAGCCGGTGACCAACGATTGGTTCATACGCCATTTGTTCCCCCAGGATACTGGAGCCAGCCCATGTGCACCATTGGTTTGGGATCCGGTTATAGCGCCGGACATTCGGTTTTCGTCCTCTCAATTTCGTAAACAACAGTAATGCCACGAGAAGGCAGTGAGTAGGACTTCCCTTGTAGAGGCTATATACGCGTGGCCATGTGAGAGTATTTCGAGAGGGAGAGCGGACTCTCTCCACTGTCAGCCGTACCAGGGCATTTGGGGGCCATTAATCATTTACTGAAACGACATCTACACCTGAGTAACTAAAAGAAATACTAGAGACTGTATACTATCAATATAAAATAAATAATTACATAGATTAAGTAAATAAACTCCTGTAGAAAATCCCTAACATTTGGATATATTTACGTTAAACAAGATTCATGATAAAAAGATTATTTAAACACCGATTAGTCGTTTTACTCCTATGAATACATGTTAGCGTTTTGTTTGTAATGATTTACAGTTTTGAAGTGTTATAATCACAAATCTACGCTTAAAACAATGAAACATTCACTAACTGATCATTTGAATGATAATGAGTGATATTTATTTATAAGTTTCAATCTGCTCGTTCGTTATATTCAATGAGTCTTTAAACAAATAACAGAGAAAAAATACTGAATAGTTAGCCACACGATAAAAATTGGATTATTCTTCATTTTGTAAGCGTAATGAAACACTTTCCTATGTGAATACTTACAAAACGAAACTGACTATAAATTGTGTAACGTACGATTTTCACGCAGTGAAATCAATAGGTTATTGAACATTCAATTAATTTGGGACAGTTATCTATCTGTTACGACAGCTACCTCTGTAGCGACATTCATAAAACATTAACAATTCTAGCTTCCCTCGTATTTTTCTTCGTTTTCTTCTATTTCTTTCATATATTGAATCCATATTACCAATAAAATCTGACATATTTGTAACTGTTGTATCTCGGAGAGCGAAAACAGCATGTTAGCTATTTTCTAGTCTCTGTATTTACCACATAATCTGACCAACAGTAATATGATCATAAGCTTTTATTTGTTTCGCTACAACTGAAACCTTCAGGGTATTTAATAGCTTGTTTTGTGTGTGCTGTGTTCAAGTTGGATAAACTAATTTGATAACGAAAAGTCATTTACCACATTTTTAAACTTGAAGTCAAAAATCTTGGAGTAAATCTTGACGGGGGTGTCTTGAGTGAATAAGTTATCAATAAATCCAATGTTTTCCATTAATTTCGCTCCATAATTATTTCCAACAACTGATCTGTTACATCGACTAACATTTTCATTTGTTAATTATTTTAATAACATTGGTATTTGAACTAACAATATAATAATAATGCTCAATTTGGTTCACAGAGAAACCCTATCTTAAGTACATTGATAAATTGTAGCAGACGCCTTAACATGGTGAAAATGATCTTCACTTATCCACTATAAAGTATAATTCACAACCGTATGTTCACTATGGAAAGGAGTCATAAAAACTCAAAACTATAAATATTAAGGGATCTGGTAAGGTTACGCTTAAACATTTCATCATACAGTGCATGCCATAAGATTGGATTCATTGTTATTAAGTTTTTAAAAGTACAATGGATTTATCAATAGTAAAACAATTCAAACTGATAAAAATATTTAGGCAAATATACGGTTATAAAAGGTTGAGAAGCTCACCTTCAAATAGCGAAGGGTGTGATCGATCACTTGGTCATGAAATCCCTCGTCAAAATCATTGGTACATACAATATCTGGGGCAAGTTTACTAATGGTAACAACCGCAGTCGTTGCGTCATCAGTAGCAGTACCCTCTTTCATTGTGACATAACGGGCTAAATCTATCTTTATCTTTTCAAGTTCGTCTTCTGTTAATACATTTTCTTTTGTTTTTACATCCAGAGTAGAGGTTGATGAGCTGTCAACGGACTGAGATTCGGAAGCGGATTTTCCACGACCGGAGGTGTAAAACTCTTCATCCTCAGCATCATCTAACTAACAACAATAATAGGAGTTCTAATAAACTACCTTGTCTAGTGCTGCAATTAGATCATTGCGCAATCCTTTTGATTCAGGTTCTAAAAGTTGAACCCTTTTCAACCGTTGGAATGTGTCATAGTCACTTTCACCGAATAATCGTATAGGTTGATTACGTTCCCTTAGAAGACGAATAACCTAAAAACGAAGTTTCAAAAGAACACACAAAATTACTTCTTTACGAGGCATAAGCTTCCCTTTTTCTCTTTCTTCTCGACTTCTTTCTTCGAACTTTTTCAACAAGAGATCCTCCTCCTCTGTCTATCAAAAACATTATCCACTCGGAAACGGACACACACCTTGATTCTAAAATTATAATCCTCGTTGTTATTCGCTTGTTCTTTAATACGTTTGGATTTGCTGAAATATTCCTCTTCTTCCTTTTGTTTTAATAGTGAACGCTTAAAGAACTTTTTATCACACTTCATCTAAATTACGACGAAAACTAGGATTTTTATACATACCAATCCGCTACTAACTAGCTTCTCACGTTGCCTCGCTATTTCTGCTTTGACGAGATCCATTGTAGGAACAATTACTTCTGTAAAATACAAAGCATTACAACCTAAGATTTCCAAGGTTTTTACATAAATTGTCTTGATTTAAAATAGGATTGTTGAAAATATGCGGAATTCGCGGCATTATAACAGCACGATAACTATAACTTTGATCATAAGCCACGAAAATACGTAGTCATTAGAATGGATACAATATTACCCGACGTTCTGAGTTTTTAGTACTAAATTCATATACGTTAACTTGTGTGTATATAGTGAAAAACAAATACAGTCACATATGATAGAAATATTTGACTGGGTAACGACCACATCAATGTGACATAAAAAATCACTGAGGTGATAATTTTTATTAATGCAAGGCTCACTTCTATGGAATTACTCATTATTATGTTTGGAAGCTTGGACGGGCTCGGTTTATCAAAACCAAATGAAGTTTACGATAGAGCCAGTTTAGGACCTCGTGATATTTTCTAACAAGTTGTGAAACGATGGAACAGTAAGAGCATACTGTTCTCCATTTGTGATGAATACCCCTTTCTTTGCTCAGATTTCATATCAAGTAAGGATGACAAGAGAATTTGCCATAAGCATATATGCTTATAATAACTGAACTAGTATTAATTTTTATTTATTTGAAAACATAGATATTGGTACAAGGAGACACCAAATATATATACGCCACACAAATCTCATTTGATTTGTGCGAGGGTTGTGATACTACCCGGGTGTCCAAACCGAAGCAGGTAACTGATTAATACTTAGTTCTTGAAAAAAATGATGTTTAGAGAAAAACATTTAGAACATGGTTTATGATGTGGGTTGCAATCAATTGCGACTGGAGAGATGTATTTACTTCTTGTCTTCCCTTGGATTTCAAGTTATCCACGAACTAATTCTCCCCTTTGGAATCATATTATACCTAGTCTTTTCCACTATTACGGACACATTACTTCTGCTATTTTATGGTTTGTCTTACTAATTATATTTTGTGTTAATGTAGCACGACAAATCTGGTTTACGAGTGCCAGGTTTTACGTTGGGTGCGTAGTATTGCCATGTAGTCTCAAATTACATATTCAAAGTGTAAAATACAGTTTGGTTTTCTGCACAAACCGTCTTTCCACCATCCCTAGATGGTTTTAAGGTAAACTACCATAAAGACTAATTAAAGTGTGATGATGCGTCTCTAAAACTACAGGTATGAACGTCTCGTTGTGGACTCCAGCCATTTATGCTTCTAAGGAGCAGAAATCACGAATACGGAACAAAATCAACACTCAAAGTGAAAAGATAGGGGAGCTGAAACTGACGAGACTATAATTTATGGACGAAAAAATTAGATTTGCGAAAACATGTCTTGAATTTCGGCGCCAAACTAATTCATTTGACTAAACAGAGTTTTGGCATTACAGCCGAGATGAAAACCCTAAATCTAATTTAGAACCCTAACTGCCCATTGTATCGTTTGGCGGGAATTTCGTTCTCTGTTCAAGGTATGTTTTTTTTATTGTAACAGAGTCATTGGAGTCGAGCGAGTGACTCACAACAATGTTTGAAGAGGCTTTACTTTGGGACTTTGGCGGAGTGGTCTGAGAGTCCACCAAGGACTTATCAAGTAAACGGTCATTAGTTTTAGCTTTCTTTTCTACTCTTCTGCGTTTCCGCGTCATCCATATTCCATCAGTCGTAGCATCTACATTAGTACTACTCGGGAAAGTAATTGTTTTATCTGGATCACCAGTCGCTGCTGTAGCAACATGGCCACCAATATCTAATGAGGTGTCACTCATTGATTGTTTCGGGGTAGAAATTTTAATCTCGGGTTGCACAGTTAGATGTCTGACTTGCGCCGTAACAGCACTTACAACACTAACGCAATCTTCGCCATCAGTACCAGTGTTGCCAGTACAGCCCTCATCAACCTTCTTATTATCCAACACCAGGAAGCTAATTGCTTCCTGGATGAGTGATGTCTTGCTCGAGCAACAAAAACTACAAAGCCAATGAGAGTTGGGCTTCGAACATCTTTTATTTGCAGCGGGGCTTAATCGGGTGCACATCTTATGGAACCACCTATTACACTCGTCACATTGCATCCCTTCCTCCATGGGGAATAAACAATATGGTTGTTCACATTTATGAACAGATTTGGCCATCTTGAAAATCAACTACAATGGTGATACAAACAGGATATGTAAAAGAATGCTAAAACCCTTAACTAAATAAATCAAGTAAAAGTCGACCAAGTATGCTTCGATGCAATAAATACACAAAAGCAAAGTCGAAACACTCAATACAATATCACTTTAACTGGAGTAGGTTCAATTAAAGTGTAAACAGTAGTTTTTATGCGTAATTTACGATCAAAACAGTTAATTAGCTCAACGAGAAACAATATCAGTGTCCTTTTTGATAGCGCGCGTGTAACAGGTCAAAGGATGATAAGGTTTCTACACCAATGTAATGAATATTAAGTCGGAGCCCACCTTTCGAGAAATTATTGTAGCAACACATTAGGTCTCAAATGCATTAAAACATGAGCGAACGCACTGCTCGCAATATTCTTCAACATGTCCCTTTCACTCGCTCAACTCCCTAGGGACTGGAAAGGTGCTATTGTCAGTCCTATATTTAAGGATAGTCAGAGACAGATCGAATCTAACTATTGGCCTGTCAGTCTAACTAGCATTGTCGTTTAGTTACTTGAAAAGATAATTCGGGTTAGGTTGCTAAGCCACATAGATTCACACAATCTGTTAGCTCCTGATCAACATGGATTTCGTGACAAGTGTTCATACTTGACTAACTTACTTATTGCGAGAGAGGATTGGACAGCAGCCTTAGATAAGGATCTGTCTGTCGATGTGATATTCATAGATTTTAGCAAAGCATTTGACAAGGATTCACACTCAGGTCTTATACAGAAGCTCACGAGCTTCGGAATAATAGGTACTGTACGGGAGTGGATAGGAAACTTCTTATGTGACCGCAGAGAGAGGGTCAATGGGACGCTATCCGACTGGAAGCCGGTCAAAAGTGGTGTACCCCAAGGCACCATCTTAGGCCCTCTGCTCTTCCTTCTCTACGTAAATGAGTTACCGCTGTTGCTTAGGTCGTCGACATTATTATTTGCGGATGACGTAAAAATCTGGAGAACAATAAGAAGTGAGGCTGATCATCTGGATCTACAAGCTGACTTAGACGATTTAGTTAGATGGGCTCGAGGTCAGTAAGTCAGCTGCAACGTAGAACCAGGCACGTATACGCATCGGTCCAAGTTGCCATACCGCATTAGCACAACAAGATGAACACCGAATTCATAGGAGTAGTTCATTCAGTGGTGGTAATATATGAAAGAGATTGCATATGAGGATATAGTACATGAAGAAAGAATTAGTTCCTAGAAAGAAGATTTGAAGTGATTTTAATCTCTTAGTTTAAAGGAAGACAGAGAGTGTATAGACCGACGCCATTGCGATCGATTCTGAGCCATGTCACCAAGAGTCTCCAACCATTGGTTACGATAGTCATGCGGACCCCAAACAAGTAGTCTGCATCTACCAACATGGCTCAAACCAGAAGTTAGTGACTTCAAGCACTGATGCCACGTTTTGGTTTGGCCGCCCCTAACTTTCTTCCAGTCATCCCTAACACCGGTTACCATTGCGCGTCGCGGTAATCGGTGTTCAGGCATACGCAGAACGTGGCCCAACCATCTCAGTCGATCAAGATTCATAACCTCATCAACTGATTTACCATCGTTCCCTAATACCCTGCGTCTAACCTCACTATTACTTACCCGGTGATCCCAGCAGATGCGAGCAATATTTCTAAGGCACCTGTGGTCAAATACTAGTAACTTACGAATATCTTCTACTCTTAAAGGCCATGTTTTGCAGCCGTATAGTAGAACGGAACGAACTGACGCGCATTACACTCGTCCCTTAATTGATAGACGGATATCTCGCCTTCGCCATAGGTGACGTAAGTTGGCAAAAGCCAAACGAGCTTTCGAATCCGTGCAGAGATTTCGTCAGACGCCAACCCACTACGGCTGATCAGACTTCCGAGATAAGTGAAGTTGTCGACACGTTTGACTACTTCACTCCCTATCCTTAGTTCAGGTGTTGACGCGGACCAGTCGTGAAACAGCAACATGCATTCAGAGAGAGAAGCGCATCCCAAACATTCTGGCATTGTTGCTCAGTGCCACTATAAGACTGCATTTTATCAGCGTCTTCAACAAACAGGACTATGTCATCTGTGTATTCTATGTTGATAAATGGACCTCCATGAAGGAGATCAATACCCGAGAATTCAGTCGACTAGAACGTTATTTCCATCAGTAGGTCTATGATGAAGTTAAACAAAAATGGAGAAAGTGGACAGCCTTGGCGGACGCCACTTGAGGTTGCGAAAGCAGATGACAGTTCGCCATAAGCTCTGACTCGACTAGTAGTGTTCGAGTAAAGAGCTTTCACAAGTTTTATGTACTTCTGAGGTACGCCTTTCAATGACAGACACTGCCACAGAACCTCTCGGTCAACAGAGTCAAACGCTGCTTTTAAGTCAAGGAAGACCACTATTGTCGGACGCCAATAAGTATGCCTGTGTTCTAGAACCTGACGAATGGTGAATATGTGGTCGATGCAGTCACGACCAGGTCTGAAGCCAGCCTGATTTTCACGTGTTTGCAGTTCACGAGTCTTAGTTAGGCGTCCGATAATTATAGAGGCTAGTATTTTAGATACTATATTAGTCAAACTAATCCCTCTGTGGTTGTCACAGGATGATTTTGACCCTTTCTTAAATATTGGGACGATAAGTGATTGTGACCAGTTAGACGGGATAACGCCCAACTCCCAGATTTTAGCTAAAATATTAGTCAACCTAATCGCTAAAACTAGACCACCATCCTTAAAGACCTCTGGGGTCAATCCATCTGGACCAGCTGCCCTTCCTCGTTTCAGATTAGCTATAGCCTTTTGAACTTCAGCTAGAGTTGGGGGACCTACTTCAATGTTCCATTCACACTGTCTGGGAATAGAGGTTAGTTGTAGAGTAGCTGAAGGCCAGCTAAACTGCTCCTTAAAGTGTTCCGCCCATCGTTCTAAGCGTCTGGACTGGGAGCAGATGAGTGTCGTTTTTTTCCGAAATAGTCTGACTTACACTTGACTTATTAATTCCAGTTTCTTTTATTAGTCTATAGAGTTGTCTTGTGTTCCCTATAGCCGCCGCCTTTTCCATCTCTTTTGCTTTCGTTGCCCACCACTGCTCACGATCGTTCCTTAGACTTTTGCTTAACCTAGATCTGATTTCTTTACGCTCTTCATCGTGTTCAGAACCTGATGGGATAAGTTTGCGAGAATCCATCAGTGCAATAGATCTTGAAGAAATCCATTGGTTCTTTGTAACCCTGTGGTTTAAATCACTAGTAGATGTCACTGCTATTTCCACAGCTGCTTGTATGTCTTTCCAATCAACATCTGGGTCAGCCTTGTTTTCAGAACTACCTAAGTTTGACCTCAGTTGTTCCTGGAACCTACTTTTGGTTTTCTCATTACTCAATTCGGTTCTAATGAGTCTTTTTTGTGTGGCTTTTTTGCGTCCAGTGAGGCGCAAGCAGATGCGTGCTCGTATTAGGGCATGGTCGGAGTCCAAGCATGTACTCCAGAATGAGCGACAATCTTCTATTGACCCTCTCCAACGATGACTGATGGCAATATGGTCTATTTGAGTCCATCGTTGGTTTGGTGCAGGGGGTCGCCATGTTAGACGATGTCTCTCCTTATGCTTAAAATTTGTGTTTGCTAAAAATAAACGATTGTCTGAGCAAAGTTGCAGCAGACGATAACCATTATCTGTTCTCTGTGCCGGAATACTAAAATACCCACCTAAATGTCTTTCTGTTTCGTTTAAGCTACCTACCTGGGCATTAAAGTCGCCTGCTACGAGTACTGTCTGAACGTTTAGCTTTCTGAAGAAGTTCAGACAGCTTTCTGTAAAATTCATCTTTCACTTCATCCGAACTGCAGTCAGTGGGAGCGTAGGCAGAAACGACGAAAAGGCAACGACGTGTGTCCCTATCCTTCCGAGTTCTTACGGAGCCGTTTAGCCGAACAGCGCATAGACGACTATTAACGGGGATCCACTCTAATAGCGCTTGTTCCGCCCTCATGCTTAGTGCTATGCCTACACCTGCAAGTCCACGAGAACTAGCCATCGGGTCGCCAGATACACGGAGGGTGTATCTCGTCGGCACTCCGTTTTGCCGAGGTGAGGTCAAGTGAATGACCATACTAGGATCCTGTATGCGTGTTTCGGAGACACAGCATACATCAATCGTACGAGATTCTAAGGTTTTAGCCAAGGAAGCCTGCTGACCGATTTGGCATAGTGTGCGTACGTTGAAGGCTCCAATGTGTAGTTTGGAGCGAGGTTTCAGTAGACCTGGGACAGTGTTTTGCGCACTAGAATCGTTGGCTGTGGTGACACTTGAGGAGGAAACCGAAAGAGGGAGTTTAGATTTGAAAGTCGATGTAAGAGGAATAATAGGAATTGAAGAGGTAGGCTGATTATGAATACAGTGGTCTTGAGTGCTGTTAGAGGTATGAGGGCGGTTATCACTTCCCGGTTCCCCACACCGTGGAAGGGTTCTGCTGGAGGTACCTGAAAAGGAAATTGGATTAGAGGTGGTCATAGTGACCTGAGAGCGTGACCGCAGTGCCCAAGGGACAGCTACTTGAGGTCGGTCACACACCACCTTTTTATGAGTAGTTTTTGTGTTAGCTCCGTACTTGTTGAGACCTTACCACCGGAGACGGATATCCGTGGGATAAGGCGAGGTGTGCATTTTTAGGGTCGACCTTTTCTAACCCCACTGCACCACTCCTTGTGGGAAGGCAGCATCGCTGTCATGCTGGTTGTCTGAAGGAAACACCTTACTGCTGTCACACCTCTGTACAGTCAGCAGTACGACTTCGCCTTCGGACCTTGGTTTTGTTGCTTTTAGTCTTACCACTCTTCAACCGACCTGTCTGGCATGGTAGGAGCTTGAGGAACGGTTGTTCCAGCCAGCATAGTTCAGTTGCTTCATCAAGATAGGCAAGCCCGACCACCACGTCAAGGTAGCAACAACGGTCAGGGGGCTCGAGGTTGAGGTTTAGAAATCAATTCTAGGAAGAGTGTGCTAATGCACATCAGTCACGGCAATAGTTGCCATTATACTATTGATGGTAAACCTCTTCCATGCGTTCAAGAACACAAAGACTTAGGAGTAATAATAAGTCATGATCTAAAAACAACCTTGCATTACAACGCAGCCGCTGTCAAAGGTTTTCGTGCGTTATGGTCACTTTGCCGAGCGTTCAAATCTTTTGACGAGGAAAGGTTTCGAATTTTATATCCCACCTATGTAAGACCACATTTAGGATACTAACTCACTTGAGTGTGTCCAGCGTGTGGGAACGAAATTAGTGAAGGGTCTTTCAAAACTCCCTTACGATGAGCGTTTAAAACGCCTAAACCTTTTCCCCTTGTCGTATCGTAGGACTCGAGGTGACCTTATACTGGCATTTCGTATCTTTAATTATGATTTGGCTGTTAATATGTCTTATCTTTTTGCTCCCCCCCAGCACTAATAATCTCCGAGGTCATAGGAAGAAGGTTGATAAACCGCGATCTAATAAACTTAAAGTGGGGTTCCGTTTTTCTCATCGAGTAGTCAATGATTGGAGCGCCTTGCCCGAACAAGTGGTATCAGCGCCAACAGTGAATATTTTCAACGATAAAATGGACCTTCACTGGAAGGCAATCTGTTAGGATTAACACAGCCCCCAAATGCCCTGGTACGGCCGAGAGTGGGGGGAGTCCGCTCCCCCTCTCGAAATGCTCTCACATGGCCACGCGTATACAGCCCCTGCCAGGGAAGTCATACTCACTGACTTCTCGTGGCGAGGGTGTTGTTTACGAAAATGAGAGGACGAAAAGCGAATGTCCGGCGCTTTAACCGGATCCCAATTCTATGGTGCACATGGGCTCCAGTATCCTGCCTGAGGGAACAAATGGCGAATGAACTAATCGTTGGTCACCGGCTACCATGGGACTGCATCTCCTCACGATGCTCCACTGCCTTGTGGATCAGATCTTCAGGTCAAAGGCTCGGGGTGTGGTCCCCTAAGAAAACCACCTGCTTCGGTTTGGGCACCCGGGCAGTATCACAGCCCTCACACATATCAAATGAGATATGTGTGGCGCATATGTATTTGGTGCCTTCTTGTACCGATATTTATGTGTTAAAATAAATAAATAAATAAATAGGATTAACACAGGTTCACCAACCTACTATCCTTATTACTGGAGACTGCATAAATATCTAAGCAGATCTTTGAAACGTCAAATCTATGGACTAACAGTTTATTGGCACTACTGCATACCAACATTGAATTTGTGGGTGGACATTCAGTTTATCCACAAGGTGGACAGTACTCATCGTTAAAGACTACAATCGGGTTATTTTCATTGCTGGACCAGAATATCCGTAAATAAAACATTCAGTTATTCACATTTATTAGGACGGCTTAGACTTCTAGCACCATATAAGCTTTGGTTTGATTACGGCTTGACTGGGCGACAAAATAAAATATCAAAAGAACACTGGCTTTTGTGAGGATATTTTTATACATACACATACACGCATGATAAAAAAGGGGGCTATCTAAAAGGACACTGGTATTGTTTCTCGTTGAGCTAATTAACTGTTTTGATCGTAAATTACGCATAAAAACTACTGTTTACACTTTAATTGAACCTACTCCAGTTAAAGTGATATTGTATTGAGTGTTTCGACTTTGCTTTTGTGTATTTATTGCATCGAAGCATACTTGGTCGACTTTTACTTGATTTATTTAGTTAAGGGTTTTAGCATTCTTTTACATATCCTGTTTGTATCACCATTGTAGTTGATTTTCAAGATGGCCAAATCTGTTCATAAATGTGAACAACCATATTGTTTATTCCCCATGGAGGAAGGGATGCAATGTGACGAGTGTAATAGGTGGTTCCATAAGATGTGCACCCGATTAAGCCCCGCTGCAAATAAAAGATGTTCGAAGCCCAACTCTCATTGGCTTTGTAGTTTTTGTTGCTCGAGCAAGACATCACTCATCCAGGAAGCAATTAGCTTCCTGGTGTTGGATAATAAGAAGGTTGATGAGGGCTGTACTGGCAACACTGGTACTGATGGCGAAGATTGCGTTAGTGTTGTAAGTGCTGTTACGGCGCAAGTCAGACATCTAACTGTGCAACCCGAGATTAAAATTTCTACCCCGAAACAATCAATGAGTGACACCTCATTAGATATTGGTGGCCATGTTGCTACAGCAGCGACTGGTGATCCAGATAAAACAATTACTTTCCCGAGTAGTACTAATGTAGATGCTACGACTGATGGAATATGGATGACGCGGAAACGCAGAAGAGTAGAAAAGAAAGCTAAAACTAATGACCGTTTACTTGATAAGTCCTTGGTGGACTCTCAGACCACTCCGCCAAAGTCCCAAAGTAAAGCCTCTTCAAACATTGTTGTGAGTCACTCGCTCGACTCCAATGACTGTTACAATAAAAAAACATACCTTGAACAGAGAACGAAATTCCCGCCAAAAGATACAATGGGCAATATCCTAGTGGCAATAGTGGTTTGTTACAGCTTCTCATATCTTGACACTAAATGTTTCAAATAGTTCAAATGGTTCTGGAAAAAATAGGAGATTCATTCTTTTAACGAGCTCTTATATCTAGAAGCAGTGAATCACCGATGCCTCCAGGTAACAGCCTAGGTTTATTTAACGGTAAACGAGAAGGAAAATCGGTAAGTTATAGTGAGATATTGTCCTCAGTCTCTAAGAATACGTCAAGTTTTCTCTTAAATAATTCTTGTGAAGTAGCTTGAACTAGTTCTAGGTGTTACTCTTAAGGTTTTTATTAGGACAAATCTTAAGTAGGTGCTTAAGGGGATGCTCAGAACTGTTTAGCATATTATAAGTCACTAGAATTTCACCACAGAGAAGCTTGCACTCTGCTGAGTGAAGGTTTAGTGATTGAAGGCGCCTTTCATGACACTTTATTTTGAGTCCCTGAGCTGATTTCCTGGCTGGCCATTGGATACGTCCCAGTATGTCCTTATCCTTTTAGAGCGAGGGAGGAAACACTTAGTCTCCGTACTTTGAATGGAAACGAATAAAACTGTTGAATATTATGTGGAAAGTTCCTCTATCGAACTGGCCGAAAATGGCTTACAACTTTGCCAATGCAGAGTTTGCTTGAAAGGCATATTTATCTCAGTCTAAGACTTCAGATCATAGGGTACCAACACGTCTAGATCTTTTTCAACCTCTGAAAAAGAGTTACCTTAGTTGTTTTCGTAGTCTGAAACATGTCTTAGATGGACTACTTTACACTTTGAAGTGTTAAAGGTGAGTCCATTGTCATCTGTCCAACTATGGAGAAGAATCGCATCCTCCTAAAGTGCCGGATTATCCTCTTAGTGGCATACTTCTCTCCAGAGTTTCACGGAAGGTAATAAATCTGACGGTACTTGGTGTGAGAGATCCTTTATATAAATCAACAAAAGAAGAGGTCCTAGTGCCGAACCCTGGGGACCCCACTAGGGTATTCCACAGACTGCGAGGAAGTGAAGTCAACCCTAACGTTAAAATGTCAGTTTTTATATTTGAAGTGAGCCAATCAATTAAAGGTGATTTGATACCTAATCCTTTGATAAGACATATATGGTTGACCCTATCAAAAGCTTTTGAGAAGTCAAGGTAAATGAGTTCAACCTCTCTCTTAAGATCAAGAATGGTTGTCCATCTGTCCACCGCCGTCAGTAGGTTAATTATGCAAGAGTAACCTTTTCTGAAACCGTGCTGTTGGAGTGAAAAGACGTTTATGGGTAATAAATAGTCGTGTATACCGCCACATATCAGGGACTCCATATGTTTTGAGCCACCAGTCGGTGGCTTGAAGATTCATTGCATCGACCTCTTTTGAAAATTAGTGTGATGTGAGCCGGCTACCAATTTTCCAGTAATATGCCTCGGTCTAGCGAATGTGAGGACATCACGCTAAGCAGTGTTGCCAAGATTGAAGTTGCTTCCCTCGATATAGCAGAATGGACCATATCCTGACCAGGAGAAGTGTTTTGTTTCAGGTGCTGCAGTTTCCTGTACATCAAGTCAGTGCTTAGGTCCACTTCTGAAAGTCCTATAAAGTTGCAGATGAAGCTTTCATCAATATAGTTAGTGTGAGTCGATTGAAATGTCCAAAAGTAATGTTTTACCAGAAGGTTAGTGGCGTCACCGTCGTTGTCGGTAGAGTGCGGTTCTTGATAACAGCAGGTCGCTTGTCCATGTTGAGGACCGTTAGCAGAACAGACTGTTTTGTAGCATATATAATCGTGTACAGTAGGATATCCCAATGAGCATCCACATCAAGTTGAGGGTAAATGTCTCGGTACACCTGCTGACGATTGTCCTGTAAAGATAGCACATCCACCCATTTGAAATTCCAACGCTTGTTGTTCGTAGGATGTATGAGCTCAGATATTCTGATAAGATTGAAGACTATGATGGCTCGATCACTTTTACCTGGGTGAGCCGAGATTGAGAGGTTATTAATTGTGAATTCCTCGTTTGTAAATACGCAGTCTAAGAGCGATGGCGTTGCTGACATGACATTTTCGAATAGTCCCAGATCTTCAATGAGGTTGAATAACCGAGCTTCAGTAGAGTTGTCAGTCGCAGTCTACGTATGTTCAGAGTGATTGAATTTAGGAAGATTGAATTCTACCAAAATCAGGATATGAAACCATTCGAGACGCTTAGAGAAGGACAATCCCTCTGAGCTTTCTGCAGACTACCCTAACTACATATGTCGGGGTGTTGAGCAATCGTACTGAGCACCAAACAGATTCATCAAGTTTGATAAACTCTTAAGTTTTCACTTGATGTGCTACCAAGCAAGATCGCAAGTACAGGGCTACTGAGCTTTTTCCAGTTGTTGCGAAACAAAGGCATGCTGTGTATTTCTGGCTTCTGGTCTGTAATTTTGGAAGATAGCCATGTTTCAGATATTGTTATCAGATGAGTATTAATGATATTACTGGGTTCGCGCAACTCATCCATTTTATCATGTAAACTCACGGCGTTCATATATAGGCAGTTTATGCTTTCAATTTTAAACGCGTTGGCATCCTCGTTTTGTTTACCTTTATGAGTTTTATTTGAATGGACAAGCAACCTACCCACGTGGAATTTTCCGAGTTGGTTACCCCTTTCCCTTCTTTATAAGTTTCCATGATCTTGACAGTCCACAAAAGGAGTAGTCAGTTCCAACTTGATTTCGTTCTTATACCTTACATCATGTGGCCTGTCCAGATGCATGTGGTTTCCACTTGGCAACCGACCTCTATTAGCATGAAATGATTCGACAGGGGCACCTGCCATACAGGTGGATGAGAATGTTGTCTTCACTAGATGGGGTCTAAAATCCCCATTCTTGGCTAGTTGCACCACTTGTTGAGTAAATATATTCTTTAATGATTGTGTTGTGAATTTCCACTCAAGAATATCAGAGTCTGCGTAGTTAGGATCAGTGTTTCCTAAGAAACTTCATACATTAATATTTTTCCGCGAAAGCGAGTCTCGTGAGACTCATTAGGGATGTTCCTGATGACATTGAGATCGGAATATGGTATATTAGGCAGTATTCTTATATCCCCTTCTGATTCCAGCTGATGACTTGCTAGCAGAACATCCTCTACGTTTCCAGTGTTGATGGACAGTACATGGACGATTCTTGTGTAATTTTCGTTTTTGGAGTCCCCCGAGTGAGTCCTGTAACCGTCATTAGCTCAATTATGGATAGTTTGAGATTCCTGTTCTTAGAGCATCCTGTCGTTTTTGTTCTGCAGACTAAGAGGAAGGTTGAAGCTCTCTTTAAGGTTTATGATTATGAGAGAGTCATCTCGAAACGTAATCGCCCTTCCAGATTTTCTGGAATATTGTGGTCGGAGTCCTTTTTGTTTGACAGGTGGATTTCGTTTCAAATTCTCTTACTCTTTTCTGACTGCTTGGACAATCTTAGGGGTAGATTACACTGTCAAATTACTAACTGACTTCACTACAGGATCTGGGGTGTTCAGCTCTTTTGATGATGACAGTGGTTCTTTTTTAATTTTTTTGATGCGGTCCAAACGCCTATTTAATTTTTGGGGACCAGAGTCCCATTTAGGAGGCCTGTACCGAAAAAAAACCGAGTTTGCAGGAAGGGTCTAGCATCATCGGAGTCATGAGGGTACTGAGCTTCAGTATATCCTTACTAGTGTTGATGCGTGTTCTGTCTGTGCAATGTCGTCAAAGCCCTATTCTTTACTTCATTGTGCGTCCTTGTTTGTTTATCCGTCTCAGGGCTGCCTTGTTCAGATTTATCGACAACGTTTTTGACAGGCCTGTCAAGATAATGATGTCACTTAGCAAAACCTCAGCACTCATGCTGCACGTACCGCATATTCACTAGCTATCAGACTTACCAAGTCTGTTGCGAAAAGTTACTGTAAGATGTGTGCATACTTCATGAAACCAACCTTTGTATTTGTCACAATGCATGACACAAGTGATAGAAAAACGGCATCCTGGTCGCTCGCATGAGTTCTTTATAACCATGATGTTATTAGACAGATCCTAGCGAGTTTAAGACCGTAAACTAAGCATAAAAGCATACTCGCAAGACGGATAAGAAACCAAATGGTACAAAATAGTAGGATATATTAGAACTAGCCTTGATGTGGAAAACTGCAAGAACCGATTAGTGAGCTGATGTAAAACCACAGTCAACTATCAACTTGGGCAAATCTGAAAAAGAAAAGTAATCCACCGTACCTTAAGCTCTAGACAGGTCCTCTGAATCAAAAATGATACCTTCGTTTGAAGTTTGCGTTACGATAACACAGAATCTAATATATATTGAGTGTATATCGTTGAGTCCTACTTTATAACTCATACATAACTTTAGAATTCAAACTTTAAGCAATATGGGTCGACTGTCAAAAAAACGAGCACGGAAAAGCCCTAACTCTTCAGATATCAACAATTCTGTTATTACCTATTCTTCTTGCTCCGCTACTCCTTTTGTATCTGATAATGTTGGGACTGGTCTTACACCACACGTGCTGCTGGATGACTCTGTTTCTAATTTAGTAATGAGTTCCACCTCAAGATCAAAAAGGATCGATGATATGAAGAGTGAATTAAACACTCTGTTTAAGCAACTAAGCGACATGCGTCCTAAAGTTGAGTCACTTTCTAGCTCTTTATCAAAGCATGATGATCTTAAGCAAGAACTAAAGACACTATCACCCTTAAAACTGCTTTTGTCAAAAGACATCGTTCCTGCGGAACTCGATGACATCATAAAAGCAGAATCTGTTATCGATTTTATCGCTAGTGAAGTTACCAAGCGAATAGTCTCTCGTAATAACGTGATTGTCTATAATACACCTGACAAAGTCCCCATTAACACTGTGAGGAATTCGATATTAAAAGCATCTAACCTTCAAGACAGTCCATGCCAATGCATCCGACTTACTAAGAAGCACCAGAAATACTCGTGCCCGGTCTTGTTCAGGTTTGATTCTGATATATTAGCTGGACAGTTAG